TCTTTTTCAATATTCTCTTACAATTTTTAATCAGCTGTTAGAAAATGCTTAATATTTTGTCAAACAAAAGCAATTATAGCTGGCGTTTTACTTTAATGTTTATCATCCGATGAAAGCGAAGTCTATGAACGAATTGTAAAGAGACGATTAAGGGAGGCGGCTTAGTGTAAACTGTAGGTCCCTCCATTTGTTGGAAAAACATCAAAGCGCAGTGCAGTTTACCAAAAAGTTTTTTTTGCTAAATTTGGATATGACCGCATAAATTCAGTGATGAACTCCTTTTGTGCCGCGTAAATTTTATTTACATTTGTCCTAAAATATTTTTTAACAATTCAACTATATTTTTTATAATATATTACAATAAATTGCTTTCGAGTACACGTTCACGTATGGCGTAATACGCCAATTTACTTGAAGAGTTATACGTTCACGGAACGCTCGATTCGAGGCCTGCTTTTTTGTGTATCGAATGAAGGTGGTCATTTAATCGACGTTCTGTTCTAAAATTGATTCGAAAAACCGATAGAGTTATTCACCGTTGAAATATACAAGGTCTAGAAAGCATACCCTGTAAGCCCTTTGAAACTACAGTAACATTAAAATTCTTACTTACATCTCTATTAATACCTTGTGGTCTGTTTTTCTTCGCTTCTTGTTGCTTTTTCGATTGAAGCAATAGCACCAGCAAAACATTATTCGCATTAATAGAAATTTGTCTCATATTTGTGCGACAACAGTTTAATTTTTATTATCAAAATTCAAAATGCAGCTATATTTACCAATTAACCGTTGTCTAAGCGGGTTGAGAAAAATGTTGGAATGTATTTAAGTTAAGCACTAGGCTCATTGCAAAAAAATGGTCTTTGCCCAATGCCAAGGGAATCACCTGGCGCTGCGCAGATACCTGATCTGGAAAAATTGGTTTTACAACTAGCAGGGCCTGGAATATGGTATTTGATGAAAACTGATAACCAGCTCTCCGCTTTTCATCCTTCATTCCTAACTTTTTTCAGCGTGTACAGATCACCCGCTCAAAAGCCTTTAACACTGTTATAACCTCCGAGACTGTAGGTCGGCCTAAGGAGATATTTGAGTGACCATTGATAACAGTCCAAAGCTTAAGCTAAGCCAAAGCTTACTTATCTTCACCATAGTCCAGCGCTGTTCAAGAGACTTCTTTATTAAGACGATATTGGTCTATGAATCAACACACAAACAAATTTTATATCAGCAAATTGCACTTACATCGACTCTGGTAGCTCCAGCGAATTGCTTTTATCCGCAATACATGAGCAGGACTACTGGCTGGAATCATCATACGTTGACTTAATATAATACTGTCTCAAATTCGTTTATCTTAATTAAAGAGTGCAATGCGGTGTAGTCAAGCTTCTGGGTGTGCAGTTACAGTCGATGGGCTATACTATTTCTATTCCTCCGTCCAAGTCGCGCGCCCTGGAAACGTGAGCAACCCTTGTGCAAGATGCGGTTAGCATTCTGGGGGCTCTAAGTGACGACTAAAAGTGAGAAAGCTTCAAAGGAACCACTCTAACTTATACGGTTTAAGAGCTCGCTGAAGTCTAAATACAATGTCTGTTCACCAGATGCGCGGCTGCGAGAGGGCGTCGGTCTTGGAGCAAGCGGCTCGGTTTATAAATGTGGGAAAATGTTCGCTGCATCAACACCAATAATAATATCAGCCTTAAAATACAGCGCAGAATCACTCTACTTTAGACTAAGTAGGCAAATGAAAAGTAAAATCCTCTATCGACGAACCAAACTCTACAAGTCGCTTATCGTTCCTGTCCTGCAAAGTGGTGCGGAGGCGTGGACGATGACAACATTTGATGAGTCAACGTTATGAGTTTTCGAGAGAAAGATTTTGCGTACGATTTACAATCCTTTGCGATTTGGAAACGGTGAATACCGTAGCCGATGTAATGATGAGTTATATGGGATATACGGCGACATTGGCATAGTTCAACGAATCAAGAAATAGCGGCTGCTCTGGCTAGGTCATATGGTCCGGATGGATAAGAATACTCCAGTTTTGAAAGTTTTCGATGCAGTACCCGCCGGTGGACACTCCGTTGGAGATACCAGGTAGATGAAGACCTGGCTGTATTTGGCATTTCCAATTGGCGCCAAACGGCGGAAAGTAGATATGAATGGTGCAATGTTGTTACCTCGGTATGCCCGGCTGTCAATGGTGATGGTGTGATATGATAAATAAACGGTTCCTAAACTCATCCTTCGTTTATTCATTCATTTCTCTCTCATGAAGGTTTTTATTATAATTTGGTCTCTTTATTTTCAGAGCTGAGCGACCGAAAGAACGAACTTGTTGATCTTAATTTTTCTTAAAACAATACATTGTTATAAAGCTGCTATGGAAGAGTAGCTCTACAGTTTCAAATAACTACAATCCGTTTGCTTTCGTATGGCATCTTCTCACAATTCTTATACGATTTACGTATCACGGAATCCTCTTTCGTACGACTGCCGGTACGTTCACGGAAGTCTCGATTCTACCTCTAGTTTCGCTTAGTACTTTCAACTAGCTCCAAGAAGCGAAGAAAAGAACCGAAGCGCTGTCCACTGAAGAAAACGAGGTGCAGCAAAAGCAATTGGAAATTGTATTTCAGAAATAAAAGTGCAGATAATGAGTGCATTCGAAACTGACATTTTTTGAAACCAAAATGCGCCAACATAATAAAAATTTGCAAGAAAATTATATTTATTTTCGCTTGACATTGAAACGTGGATATCAAAAAGAAAAAAAAGAAAATTTAGACGACAGTAGTTTTTCTATATAATTTAGGTTAAAGAAATGAAAACAGATTCTGAATTTGGGCACATACTGGAACTCGTGATACAGAAAACAAGGTAGTTTCGCTCAAAAGTTTTTTCAAAAATATTAACTATCTGTGACATAAAAAAAAAGATTTTCTGACTTTTATTCATTGATGTGATACCAATTTCATTTCTTAAAAAATAAGTTTTCACGAAATTAAAAATATATATTAAAAGAAATGCAAAACCCTTCGATGTGAGCAAAAAACTATAAAAAAATAAAATGTACTCACAAAAATCTCAAAGGCTTTCAGAATATACAATGCATTCTGAAATCTAATGGAAAATATATTAATTATTTTTAAAGTGTCAATATCTTGGAGTTGAAATGAAAATAAGATAAAATGTCAAAACTTCTTTTTCTGTCAATTTTATATGGATTTTTTGATACCAAAGTCTATAGAACACAAGCCGTAAAGTCATTATTATTAAAAATGTAAAAGTTTATTGTTATTAAAAATCGTTTCCTATATCCTCATAAGGATGCCTAACGCCCGGTTATACTTTGTTGCAATTAATGTTTCAACAGGAATTTGCAACTCTGCTAATCATTAAGCTTAAGCTTACTATTCGATAGATGAAATCTGAATCAATACAAACAACATGAGTTCTGTTAGTTAACTAAGTAGCATTTTGATATTCATATGTACATAGGAGGTGTGTTCAAAAAATATCGCGAATTTTGTGTTTTTTCAAAAATTATTTATTTATTCATGAATATTTATTTTTTCCCCTTCGAAGTGGTCCCCATGAGATATTATACACTTGTGCCAACGGTTTTTTCAATCTGCGAAGCACTTCAAAAAATCATATTTTTTATATTGTTCAGCTCTTCCTTCGATGCCGTCTTTATCTCGTCAATCGTAGCGTAACGTTGTCCTTTCATGGGCCTCTTCAGTTTAGGGAACAAGAAAAAGTCACAGGGGGCCATGATCTGGGGAGTACGGTGGATGCGGCATCATTAGTGTGTTGTTTTTGGCCAAAAAGTCGCGCACAAGCAACGATGTGTGAGCAGGGGCGTTATCGTGGTGCAAAAGCCAATTTTTGTTCTTCAACAAAACCGGACGTTTCTGGCGGATTGCTTCGCGCAAATTGCGCATAACTTGCAGGTTATATTCCTTATTTACCGTTCTACCCTGTGGCAAGAAATCATGATGCACCACGCCCTGCAATTAATTTTATCGTCTGTTGTTGAAGTGCTCGGGCGTCCGGCACGTTCTTCGTCGTTCACATCTTCTCGGCCTTCTGAGAACATTTTGTACCACTGGTCCAAGGTAGCTTCTCCGTATGCCACTGTCAACATTTGGAATGCATCCGCGCACTTAATTTTGTTTTTCACACAAAATTTGATCCATTTTTTTTTGAATAGGTAAAATCGAAGACCATCCAAAACACGTGCAAGCAAAGCAGCTGTCAACAATTAAGTGAACAATTAAAAATGGCCGAGCTTGTCGGCGTATGTGACAGACATGAGTACCAACATAACGCCACAAAAAAATCGAAATTCGATTATACGTAACACGCGAAAATTCAAAATTCGCGATACTTTTTGAACACACCTCGTATGTAACTCAGAACACTACAAAGGTTACGACAACCGTTGACTTCACCGAAAAAACTTCGTCATATACACAGTGAGTGGGACTTGCACAAATGTGTATGCATGTAAATATGGGGGAAACATTTTTTATAGAGAACAAAACACAAATTATACAAATTTGAATTACCAACGTCGTCATGAACCATATGAATTCGCTTTTGCGTAACCTTGTATTATATAAACCTTGGAGTGAAACTACCTTCCTTTTTTGCGTTCTGCTTGAACTTGAGGACATATTGTGCGACTTTGTTTGGGACCTTTGGACACAAGACAAACAGTAGATGTTGAAATCTTTCCATTCGCATGCAATTTATTTATTATTCTTTTATATTCATTAAACGAATTAAAAGAAAATTATTTAATTCAAAGTTTACAATACCAAAATGTATACATTCATTGAGTTTCAACAGCCAAATTACGAAGAAAATAAGAGCACAGGAGAAGAAACATATGAACATAACCCGAAAATAACACGAAATTATGTACAATACATACATATGTATGATCCCATGACTCTTTTATAATTATAATTTAGCTGCGTTCATCTTTAATCTTTCATATTTTTCAATAGAGCGTAATAACTATATGATGAGTTGATTATCTGAAAACAAAAAAAAATGAGTTACTCTTTTTATCAAATATGACTGAAGAAGTGCGAATAGTTCATTAAAATGTATTGAACTGTAATGTACCTCATCTACCTACTTATGTTTCTTCATTGCTCATCACTCCCGGTGGCACGGCTCAGAAGCTTAGTCGATGACATCTGATAAGTTGGCAATGGAGTTTTTAAGAGAATTGTTTGAACCTATACGCATTGACAACGGTGAAAACGACTACTTTCGGTAGGTTAGCACTACAGTATTCAAAGATTCCGACGGAGTATAGATCAGAGGAATAGAAATACCTTTACTCCGTTAGAAGGGCAAGGCGAAAAAAGGCTTGTGTTCACTTATATAATTAGAAATTTTCGGTTTAGCACCTTCTACGAGCGTCTTGATGTTTTTCCAAGAAGTGAAAGGACCAACACTTTATTTGAAGTCGTCTTCGATCGGCTCATTGAATTTTTAGGAGGAGCGAGCTTTTAGTTTATGTCAGAAATACACTCAGAGTGCTTGAGATTCCTTGCCGAAGGGCGAGGGCAATTATAAATATAGTATCTATATCAAGAAGAATTCAACAAATAACTTTGTACATATGTATATCCTATTTGTGAGGCGCTATTACAAAATTAATTAAATATGCTGACTAATTGAATGCGTGTTAACCAAGTATGTGGTAATTTTGCACGGTAATATTCTCAGTTATACTTCAGCGCTAAACATTTTGTGTTTTATTATTATGTTTTTTTAATTATTTATTTTATTATTTATTATTTTTATTTATTTTATTAATTATTTTTGTTTTATTAATTATGGTTATAACTATGTATATTATAATATTTCGAAGGTATAGTTAAAGGACTTACCGAGGTGAAAGCTGGCAAATTGAAAGAGTAGCAACGATTGATAGTTTTAATTCGAATTGGTACATCAAATTGGGCCATCATTAGCATCATCAACCGTCGATTGATTTGGTTACAGTGAGTCCACTCTGATGAGTACAAAGCGTACGAAAGCTGTGCACTTCTGAGTGAGACCTCGTTGGCAAAATAACATAGCATGAATATTTGGGATAACATGCAAAGCTGGTACACAAGAAATTTCATAAAAGTTCCATAATCACTGGGATCGGTTAACTGAAATATTAAATCAATATACATACATATGTAACTATGCTTAATAGTAAAAATTTATTAAAAATAACTCACAAACGTCATTGCGTAGAAATTAGCTACAAGTACCAGGACCGAGCTGATCACTTGTACGGACATTGGAATGCATAGAAGATCTTCCATAATGTCGGTAATATATCGTAGCTTAGCGTAGTATCGAATGCATTCTTTTAACTGTAAAGTAATGACGTCCTGTGTTATGTTCTGAAATTTGCCGATATTTTCCAGACGATTTGATAAAATGTCCAATTGACCTTTCAGATATATGAAGAAAGACGCACTTAATGAGTCAAATGCTATGTTCAGAAAGCAGCACAACGATAGTCCAACAAACTGGAAAATATAAGCTACCAAAAAACATAATGTGTGCTCCACATTTAACGGTATATAAATTGAAAGTGGTAACTCGCCAGGATCCGATATCAGTTTCGGCACGAACACCAAAGCTAATGATGTCAACGAGAGACCCATATAACAATTCCGCACTGCACAACTTAAGTGAACTGATTTGATGAACTTCTTCAACTCTGAGGGGTTGGCTGGTAATAGGTCATCGTTATGCATTCGCGCGAAAAACGCTACATATCGGCTATTTTTCTTTCGAATATGCACAAATTTGGCCATTACCGCAATAGCCATTGAGCATATATAAAACACGTTTACTATCTCATTCAAATCGGTTATGTTGCCAATCACTTTAACCCACATGCTGATATCGAAAAGCAACATCCAAACAACGGTCACATGCCAAAAGTATAATTTAAATAATATCTGACAAAATCTTGAATAATTCGGCGGCAAGCCGAAAAGACCTAAAAACTTAAAAAATTTAAATTGCCTCTCATAAAAACAGTTTACTATTTTCTTCGGCTCTTCCATGGTTATGCGCGTATATTTGATTATAGGAATCGAACTAGCTTTACGTGGGGTAATCATATCTTTTATATAAGAGCGAGTAATACCAAAATGTTTTGCTAATGACTTTGCCTTATGTATTATTAAAGTTTGTTAAGATGTGCTTACGCAGTTACGTACATACATATATACATATACATAATACATCCATCAGTTTGAACACAGTGGAAAGCTTATAAGCAAAAATAAGGAAAAAATGGTAAGGTATTGTAATCGAATTTCGAACCTAACCTTTTTTGGATGGCTGAAATGGGAGGTTGAGGACATAACCGCAAGCGCCCGCACCTAAGCCATTAAACGGCTCACGGGGTAGAAGGGAGAGATAATCTGAAATCTTTTAAGTTTTTGGGCAAACGTTGTTCCATCTACTATAACTGAAACTGCGTTTTGTATTTTCATGTTATTTAAGAAAAAAATTATCCTTCAGAATAACAGCTGTATTGCAATAATTTTTGAAGTTAATTTCGATTGGTGGTGCTGCAAAACAATATTGCAACTTTTGTCTGTTGATTGACTTTTGTCATATGATGTCTAAATTGAAAATGTTTTCATATACATATACAAACATACATATATGTTGTGAGCAAAATTCGAATTTCAAGTTATTGTTAGGTTTGTTTATTGAGACTCTAAATAGAATAGAACAGCTCAAGTTTGAGCAGAACAGAGCAGCTGCCAAAATAACAGTAAAGCAAGTTAGAGCGACTCGGATCAAAAAGCTTATGAAACATTTTCCGGGCAACAATGTTCAATACATTTTTATTATCACTTGTATTTTAGCTGTTTGCTGTGCCCCGGGAACGTTCAATTGAAAGAATTAAACAACTATACTCGTACACACATATGACTTCTGTACAAATAATTATCAGTTTTGGCTTTATCAAGTGTGGGCTAACAAAAAGTCCAGCAAGACGAAATTTTCTGAAAACAAGCAAGTTCAAAAACGCATCTGCGAATAGTCCAACGTTTTTTTTATATGTCTGTAAAATAAATTTACATATGTCAAAACAAAAACTTATTTTAAAAACTGAACTTGGAAGCATCTCTGAAGCATTTTCAATTTTTAGTTAGTTTCAGAAAACTTTCCTTCTTATCTTAAGAATTGTCGGATCACAATTCCATATTGGCAATATTTTCTTTTTTAGTTGTTTCTTATAGTTTTTTATTCCAATATAATATTTTTCGTCTTTTCATGCAAACACATTCATATGTACATATGTATATACTTATGTACATATGTATATATATGTGTATGCTATTGAACTTCATAATACGAAACGAAAATTCGTTCGATCCAGTCGATGATCGGATGCAATGAAAATATTAAGCTTTTTTAACATAATTCCATGGCGTCGTCATGAAGAGTTTGTGTTAAAGATCCGAAAAATTTTGTACCATTTGCGGAGATTATTTGTTTAAAGAAGACCGTTTGAATATATGAGGCTTAAATAAATTACTATGGCCATGCAATGGAAATGAATGAACGGCCATACATTTGTGGCGGAGTGTGGAGTTCCTTTATCTTTAATTGTCATATGTTTTGATTTGGTTTCAAATGGATATATCCTTCCAAGCTGTGCATTGAAAGGTAAAAGCGAGAGTTTTCAAGGAATCTCTATATTACTATAAATACTTCATTAAAATAAAAATGAAAACATTTTGTAACATTATTTAAACTAGAGGTGATCAATTGCGGAACTAAAATTTTCATCGAAAACTGGACTAATGTCGTGCATCATATCCTCATCAGAAATGCTGCCGATACAGTTGCATGTATCATCATTTCGCAAGGAAATTCGTTGAACATAATGAAAATATAATTAGATTTTAATTGGTTTTAAGTCTATTGTCCATATTTGCAAACTGTGAACAGAATTATTTAGTAATCAAATAGCTCATTTTAGTGACCTCACAACACAATACAAAAGCAATCGCAAACACAAAAAAAAAAAATATTAAGTTGTGGGTTAATCAGATCTAATGAAGTTAATTGAGCCCATTAGAAATAGATTATAATTTCTAATTTCCCCCGTAGACTAAAGAAAATATTAGGCATAAGTTAAATTTTAGTATCATTTGGCATCAAATGTGGACGGTATGACCGTATCTTTAAAATGGTGTTATAACTTAAAGCTGATGTTTGTAAGAACAATAGGGGAAAAATATTAACCGTGATATAATAATTTAAAGGTAATTTCATTCTGCCTCTACCGTCCACCTCATAGCACACGCGAAAAAAAATTACTGTCTGGTGCGCTCTTTGGTCCAGTGGTTCCAATCACACCTTCTTACCTCACCTTACTCCTTTGGAAACCACAACAGGGAGGATGTCACTTCAATTCGATCATTCTTCAATGAGGTTACAAATAGCAACGCGATTTTCTATTTAAATCGATGGAAAAAGTAGTGCTTATTATTTATATTCTTAAAATTTTTTTGTCCAGGTACTATTGTTGAAACACATACAGTGGCTCAATAAAGAATTCGGACATACATTCAATAACATGCATCTTCAGGCTAAATTTTTTTTAACTAATTTATATTAAGCATTTTTGTTTTTTATGTTTCTATAGGGTATCAAATAATTATTTGAAAAAGATCAATAACAAACAAATTAAATACCTTATAGGTCTCTTATACCCTTACTTCGGAAAATTAACATCTGGCATGTTATAAATTTCGCAAAAAAAGAAGTCGGACATCTGCGAATACAGTTGCTAGGCATTTTAAAAACGGGAATCCCACAATTAGTTTGTTTTCGTTTAAAAATACATACAATGTATATAATCAAACGTAAAAGCTTGAATTAAAATTTTAGTAGTGTTCTGGGAAAAAAGGTGAAACTTCAAATATGGGTAGACAGAGTGGACAAAGCTCAATTGAAGTAAGGAAGTTAAATATTAGTCATTTTGAAATAGGAAAACCCAGTCGGGAAATCGCAGATATTGTGAGCAGACCCCGCATGACGTAATTAACGATTCAAAGAAATAAAATCCGTGGAAAACAAAAGGACGTCTGGACGACCGAAGTTTTGCAACATCTCAATATAAATTGTAATCTGGAGAGTATCCGAATAGTCTTGCGAAAAATTAATTATAAGGGGGGAAAGCAGCACGGAAGAAACCATTTATCAACGAGGTTAACGGTCAGAAAAGGATAACATTTGCAAAATGTCATGGGGATAAGGATTTTCATTCTAGTAACAAGTTTTATCAGCAGATGAAAGCCAATTGGGCACAAGAAAGACCTAGAAGCCCCTAGTTTGGAAGGATGGGGGAAAATAGATTCTTTAACTTGCAAGAAGCAGGTGGAATCTTTGCCAAGAAAAATAAATGAGCTATCAGAAAAAGTAAGGGCTTGCCGGCCAAATATTAAGAAAATTTTGTTAACTGTTGATTAAACGAATGAATTTTGCAATATTAAAAGTCATAGCACTCTGGATAAGCTAAACCTAAAAATTGTCATTTTTAAGAAATTCATAAAATATTTGCGCATTTCAAATTTGAAGGTGAAAGTGCAAATTACATTTAGTGAAAAGTTACCGATCTTATAAAACCAGTTCATATTTACCGAAATGCCTAAAAAAAGGGAAATTAGTAACGATGATAAAAAGTTAGAATTCAAGTTCTAAGTGAAGAAGGTAAGTCTCAGGTTGAGATTGCCAATTCGTTCGCGGTGCGCGGACCAATGTGCTATCAGGCGATTTGTGGAGAAGAAATCCTATCATAATAAAACAAAAAGTGGAGGAAAGCGTCTAACCAGTAAACGAGAAGACCGAATACTTATACGCGAGTCTCTCAAGAATCTTTCACACTTGCAGCTGCCCTTTCGGATGAATTTAGTAAATAGTGCTCGAAAAGTTAGAAGAAGTCATCTGTAAGCAGGTTAAAAAGGATGTAAAGCTTGAAAGAAGCCGTGGCTCTCGGAAAAGAATAGGAAAAACCGTTTGGAATGGATTCGCCGATACAAACACGGAAGAAAATTGGTCGAATGTTCTGTGGTCTGATGAATCAAGCTTAGTTGAGATCGTCTTAAAGTATTAACAGGCTTCTTACCGTAGAGCAATTTTGAAGACATAATAGAAATCTTATGAAAACATTAGTTTTTCTTTTCTACAGATATTTGGAACACCTGTTGTGACGTCCTTGAGGCGACGGGTTAGGGAAGAATATAATCCAGATTGCGTGGCATCCACTGTTAAGTATGGAGGAGACAGCATTATGATCTGGGGCTGCATGGCAGTTGATGGTGTCGGCGAAATGTTCGTTTGTAAGGGTCGCATGGACAGTCAAAAATACGTAAATGTATTAGAAGCTATTCTTCTGCCTTCGCTAACGCGCATTTTCGGAGAAACTAATTTAGACGGACTTCAATTTCAGCAAGACAATGCTCTTTGTCACAAAGCAGCGACTACGATGCGTTGGTTTAGAGATAACAACATTGTTTTGTTAGATTGGCCTGCACAGTCTCCAGATCTTAATCCCTTTGGGCACATGTGGGCTATTTAAAAACTCAAGTTTAAGGAGCACAGTATAGCATCAAAAACTGCCACAAAAAATGCCTTAATAAAGAGTGGTACGCTAAAAGTGCGGAGAATTGTTGCCGTTATTAAATCGAAGGGTGGGCCTACTAGTTATTAATGTTATTATCACTAATTCATTATATTTTCACTGTTTCACTAATAAAACTTCATTACTTCACTCGTTAAAACCAAAAAATTCAGTAATTAGTGGGGTGCCTAATACTTTTGGTCAAGGCTGTATATGTATACATAATGTCGGAGTTCTTTTTTGTCATCAGTTTTGTTAAGTTCTTATGTTCACATTATTTTTATACGGCCGAGTTGAAATTAAGTTTAGTATTTTGGTCGTTTTGAAAAAATACACTGGAAGAACAGGAATATATGTCAAACAGAAAGTCCTCGATTTGTATTATTATTAAAATCTTTTTGGTTTGAAGTCGTATAACTTGTCCGGCTTCTCTTTTGAGCCACTGTTAAATAGCCCCAGAGGTATTTGCGGAATTTAAAGAGTAAAACTCGGTCCCAGCATCGTAGAGGTTTCTTTTACCACGAAGAAAAAAGACATTCATATACAATACATTGGGACTGAAAACTATCTAGATACGTGTAGGAACTGTTGTAATCAGAGACATGGATACTACGGCTTTAAGCTTTTTATTATAGTTCTATGTGTATTTGCATAAATATACAAGGTCGTACTGATCTCCAATTTTGATCGGAAGTGCATAGTCATGTACTGAAATCTTATCGGAATCAGTATTCGAATTCGTTGAATTTTCAACGACTTTGGTGATCTGTTGTCGCGTACTGGCAGCAACAAAAACTTCTTTCGTGTTTGTTTATATACATATTTCCTTTGTTTTACCTAATCTTCCTTTCACTCCAAGCATTGGTAGTGCCATCTGGCGGCAAATAGTTGCATAATTTAAAGCCGTGAATTGGTGGCACGGTTGTGTTCGGTGGAGAATTATTAAGGCCGACGCGTAGCTGGCGGACTGGCTCGAAAATGCGTACCGGGTCAGGTTCTCGCAATCTTTGAGAGTGACAACACCTCTAGTGCAGATGTACGATTTGAGATTTGAATTTGAAAAAATTATTAATATAATATATGTACAATCGAATAGGTTGCTCGCAGTTGAAGCCAAATAAATAGAGTAAGACCAGTCGAGTGACACTACCGGAGGAGCATCAAAGTCGAGCCGCACACCTGACCGAGAAAACAATAAGTAAAATATCTTTCGGTGTTGTCTGTTGTTTGCAAATATTTTTGTGCCGACAGTGTGATCCCCCCGTTACGTCCTCTCCCATCCTTATAGAATCCTGCACCCAGAGTCCAGTCATATAGGCGGGTTAAAGTTACCCCCGGCAGCACCGGAGTAGTGCGAGTGGGTTCGTAACCAATTTAGTTGGTCCACACCTCGAGTGCACCCCAAAAATATTTTTTGTTTACTTTGGCTCACATCTTTGCGTTGTGGTTGTTGGTAGGTTTTAACCATATATGTACGAGGTGTGGTCAAAAAAGTATCACGAATTTTCGGGGTTACGTATAATCGAATTTCGATTTTTTTGTGGCGTTATGTTGGTACTCATGTCTGTCACATACGCCGACAAGCTCGGCCATTTTTAATTGTTCACTTAATTGTTGACAGCTGCTTTGCTTGCACGTGTTTTGGATGATCTTCGATTTTTACCTATTCAAAAAAATGGATCAAATTTTGTGTGAAAAACGAAATTAAGTGCGCGGATGCATTCCGAATGTTGATTGGGGCATACGGAGAAGCTACCTTGGACCGGTGGTACAAAATGTTCTCAGAAGGCCGAGAAGATGTGAACGACGAAGAACGTGCCGGACGCCCGAGAACTTCAACAACAGACGAAAAAATTAATTGCAGGGGCTGCATCATGAGCTCTTGCCATAATACAGAACGGCCCATAAGGAATATCATCTGCAACTTATGCGCAATTTGGAAGATCAGAAATTGGCTTTTGCACCACGCTAACGCCCCTGCTCACACGTCGGTGCTTGTGCGCGACTTTTTGGCCAAGAACAACACACTAATGATGCCGCAGCCACCGTACTTCCCAGATCCTGGCCCCCTGTGACTTTTTCTTGTTCCCTTAACTGAAGAGGCCCATGAAAGGACGACGTTATACGGCATCCTCTTTCGATGATCTAGATAAAAAAAATGATTTTTTGAAGTGCTTCGCAGATTGGAAAACCCGTTGGCACAAATTGGCGCCCAACGTGGTGTCCGATAGTCAAAAGGAAAAAATTGTAATTTTGAGAAATTGCGATTCTTGTTTCACGGGACGTTGAGTGGTGTTTTTATTGTTGATTTTTGTTGATATACGTGTATGTAGTTAATAGCAATCTGCTATTTTTCTCTTTCTACTAGTAGGTAATTTTAACAGTGGAAGTAGGGAGGAAGAACCCTAAGATTGGATCCGAGCTTAGGACAACTTTAAAATATTATCAAATAAACACACTGAGAAGGAATCTGGTGAGTCTGTTCCGTTTTGCAGATTTTTATTTTTCTCTTTGTTGTGGTAAAATACAATATGTGCATTGGTGCGTTCATAGTGTTTTATACCGGTAGCGAAAATTGATGGTCAAGTGTTTTGAAACTAGCCCAGAAGAAGTATTCCTTTCAAATTTTGTTTGTGTTTTTCCCTTTTTCCGTAAAATTAAAGATTTTTTTTTAATTATTTTTTTATTTTACTTAAAAAAATAATTTTTTTATTTAGTAATAGTGTTGTTAAAATAGTTAGTGCTTTAATATAATATAGTTTTCGTTTTTATTTTTATATATATATTTTTTTACTTTTGGCCCTACTATTGTTTACGTCTTAGGGTCTTTTGTTTATTAAACCAGCTTGTGTTGTGTTTTTTTAGTATGTTATTCATATCAAAGTATTAATATTGTTTTAATTTTAGGTAATTTTTGCTTTGCTGGAAAGAAATCCAACCTGTGATCTCATACATGCCATGCATATTTTCCAAAATTTTACCGCAATTGGTATCAATTTTTTTTTTGGCCAACAGTTCGCCGAACAGAACTAATTCGACAAAATAATCGAACTTTAACACTCCGAATCGGATTTTCTATCGGTCGAATTCCTCAATACCGATAGGATTTTAGAAAAGCCCAGATAGTTGTGAGTATGCCTAATGGCTGATCCATTTGATTGAAATGCAGAATAGTTTACGGACCATCATTTTTCGTTTGAATGAATCTACAAGCCTGCATACATACGAGTATGTAAAGCAAATCTATCAAATCATTGTGTAAACTTAAAAAAAAAAACATTGTAGTTTGTAATTTACGTAAAGTATGTTTATTTCATTTAATGATTATTTCATACAAATTTCCATGTATTTGGTTGTTAGTAATGGTCTCTCAATAAAAGTGATGTTGTTGTTGTATGGCCTGAATTAGTTTTAAATTTAAATTTACTTATAAATAATACATGCAAAAGATACAAAAAAGGAAAATTAAACTAAAATAAAACAAGTACACATAAATGTATATATGTATGCACTTATGTATGTGGGCAATTCTTTATGTGTGTATGAATATGTTTAATATTCTTACTGATGTGTGCATCGGAAAGAAACAGCATTAACGTTGAAATATACGTGGAAGTTTACAATTTTTGTAGTTTAAATTTTTAAAATTTGAAAAAATTACTTTTGTACTTGTTTATGATTCAAGATGTACAGCAATTATATCCGTAAATTTGGCATACACGCTATGAATGTCAATTATGTTTTTTGAAAATCAGAAATTCGTTAATTTCTTTGTAACATCAAAATATAACCTTAAATTTATATGTATATGTATGTAAAAATATTCATACATGTGTATTAACGTATGACAGTACTATAAGAGCTGCAATATTTGAAAATGCTAAATACGTTTTTTTTTTCAATTTAACAAAAAAAAAAAATGCGTTTGATTAGATTTAAAAAAATAGGAAAAAATTTAGTCCCAATTTCAATCAATAATCAATTTCATAGTTTTTGGCGAAACAAGGTTACCGTACTTTCCAAAAACAACAAATTAAAAAGGTATATAAGATACCACTAGGATAACTCAATGTAATTTAGTATTTTTCTTTCCACTCATTCAAAAACAATGCCAAGGACGTAAGCCATCTTCATTTGAGCTACGTAGACGCAAACTGAATTCAATATGATGAAGTTATTACGGCAGCGAATTCAAGTTCTTTCATTCATTGAACGTGGTGATTGTCAAAATTTGTTTATGTTTTTTTTAATTTATTTTTATTTTCTTTTTGTAAACGTGAAAAATTTGAAAATTGTTATTTTGTGAGAGTGATTTGGGGGAAATAAGTGCCGAACAGAAACTTTGTGTTTTTGAAAGCCAAATAATTTTCCACGATTTTGACATTCCCACCGCTAATGCAAAAACTAAATACACGGTAATTGTTGCATTTGCTCTCCTGCCCTCATCTTTATGAATTCGCCTTACCTGTAAATCGCTCAACTTTTGGAAATGTCACAAATAAGTTGATAAATTTCGACTATACCGTGTACTCCATTGAAGCAAGAAAGATTATACCTAATACGTTAATACAATTCATTTTTATGTACATAAGTATATGTTCATATGATGACTACGAAATTCCATAAAATTATTTATTTATTTGTAAGTGTGTAATTTATAAATGTGTATACGATATATGTATTTATTTACTTATTTGAAGTGCTTGCTATGTACATACATAGCAATATACACGTTCATACGTTCATATGTATGTAAATACATCCATATTTTGGATATAAATTTGTCATTTTCAATTATCATTCATTTTTGTTTATCAATTTCATAACAACTTTACCATTTTGTACTTCGAGAGCATAAAGACTTCCGTCCTTAATTTCATTATTCAATACTTCATCAGTTACATTAACATGCACACCGGATGGACCAGCCAAGTAAATAAAATTTTTACTGCTGTCATTAAAAATATTTGAACCGCTCCCAGAATATTTTGAATGCATGCTCCAGCTACTGTAAATCGAAACGTTCTCTACTGCTCCATTTGAGTTGCCGTTGGCGATCATCTCGTAGAATCCAGGCATTTTGCAAAGCTTCTGCATTAGCTCCTTCGACGTATTCGATACCAAGTATATCGCATTATAGCTACTACCATCCATACTTACATACAGCGTAAGGCGAGGAGCTATGGCCCTGAAACGGAATTGTCTCTTGGTACATTTATATTTATTAACAAGGAGAAATATGGCCATACTTAGCTCGTAATATATTGAACATGCGAATTCCATCTGCAAGGCCGCATATTTGAATGAAATCATCTTTAGACATCCTTAAATAAATAAATAAATAAAAATAAAAATTAAAATTAAAATAAGTTACTACAATGTGAAATCTCTAGACAATTCGATACTTAAATAAATATTATTTGCAGTGTTTGCTTAATTAGTTGATATATATTTTACTATTTAATTTACTTCAATATTTTGGGGTTAAACTGAAACCCTTCCTCTTACTCCTTTTTATGAATGAGAAAGAAGTCAGTTTTTATTCTATTTTATTGTATTGAATCATCCCTTTGCACATCATTTCATTCCTTCGGATATAAATATTTATGTTAACAAATCATATTGTTGAACAGATTAGTCCACTGCATAGGACCCTAAACTACATTCCGAAATGGTCTAGAAATTTGTTCTAAGCGACCTCCGAATGGCTGATGGATTTTATGAGGTGCTTAGCACTCTCTGGCGAGGGCCAACCGCAATTAGAAAAATTAATTTTCTATAACTTTTGATGTTTGGTCAAACCAAGACTCGAACCCTGGCCTGTCGAACGTACGCAAAGCTAACCAAGATAGGTACATACCTTTGTGCGTGACTGTATGTTGAAATGCTACGAAGAGAAGCATTAGTAAATCATTTTTTAACTGTAGCAATAATTTTATTGAATCCTATTTTCAGCAACAATCTTCTGCTATTCATTTTCACAGCACCGGAAACGAACAGAAATCATGTGAAAAGAATTTTTTTTTCGATTTCGCGGTTTTAGAAATTGACATGCAGTTTGACATTAATTAATTGTCACGTCTAAAGGTTTAAGAGATTAATTTTAGATGCAAATGCAGAGATTTTAATTGAGACATTTCCCATTATTGCCTTCATTGATTTCTGTTTCGGTTTAATGGAAATTTTCTACTAAAACCGGTACGCCTTTTACTATCATAACTTATTAGAGATCAAAATTTTTTTTTCGAGATTTTCTAATTAAATAAAGTTACATTAGTTAAAATAAGAATATATGAAGAATTTTGAATCAGAATTTGGTTTTTGAAAAAATTAATAAATATTTAATACAGATAGACGGCTATCGACCTCGCCCTGCAGAATGTTCAGTATTTTTATGTTTTATGTTGTTGATAATGTTTTTAATAAACTATTGACAATGCAGTTTCCATTCTAATGACATCGTAAGTTTTCTATTCAACTCCAAGAAGATATCAGCTTGATGACAAAACTTATGTTTTCGACCTCTCTCAAGCATATCAGCTGTTGTTGTTGTTGTTGTAACCGCAAAATTATTCCCCAAAGTACTTTTTGGGGAATGTTGCGGGAGTGACAGTCCTTGGCCGGATAAAGATCCGGGTCGTTCCGGTATAAAGACCCGACTGTCGCGGGAACTATTGGATATTAGTCGCCTCTCACGACAGGCATGCCTTACCCCGGGTAAATTCTTGAACCTCTGACCCGCAGGGGGTACGTAGCAGCTGTCTCTTGGTTCACTGAACTACATGTGTCAATGCCGCCGTTTATCTCATTGATCCATCGGATCCGGTATTCGTGCTCAATGTGCTGAGGACCATAAATTTTACGCAAAACCTTTTTTTGTCGAAAACTCCTAACACCGACTCGTCAGATTTTGCCATTGTCATCATATCGCTGGTCGGAAATGATAAGCGACTTCTTCACTACCAGACCCATACGATTCGTTTCCTTATCCAGTCTGGAGAAAGCAGAACCCATATATTAGATTGAATCTCTTTATTCACCTCAGTAGCTCGTGTTATTGGTCCAGAAATTAATTAAAGAAGTCTTATGATGACAAATCACCTTGTTCGTAACCTCGTTTGGCGTCGAACAGCTCGGAGGTGACCTTCTCAATCCTGGCGGAGTTTTCCGTGTAGATTAGCGTCAGTTTAAGTTTTGCGGGGATACCAAATTCAGAATTAGCGGTGTAGAGGCAGTATAATAACGTAAAATTAGTAAATTTGTAATCCGTCTTTATAATTCAATACCGTATCTACATTGAAATTTCTACACAAACATTATGAACTGAAGACATAATGGCTAAATACATTTACTGAAATGAAGTGATTCCTTAGTCATATAAGATGGCATTTTCACGCTCCCAACAGATGCATAAATTTATATTTAATTTGACAGAATAACAGCAGCGCTTGGTTGTCCTAAATTGAAATCCTACTTTAAATGAACTCTCTCTAACTCTACTCTAAGCCAAATATGACTAAGTTAAAGTAATTACGATACTAACCTCAAAACATCCGAACCGGAAAAGTGTGCAAATGTCGACAGGTAAGACGTCAAACGATGATTGTTCAGCCACTGTGCAACTTGGGACGGGGTGGACTCCGGCGAAATGTTGGTATTCTATAAAAGACGAGCGTTTTATGTCATTCAAAAGTACACACATAAGCAACGGCAACAAAAGATGAATGTACAACATACATAGTCCTCCATGTCAGATGCGACAGTTTGTTTTGGCGACACCATGTTAGCATCCATTAGTTTCAACGTTGGCGAATTTGTTGATGTAACACTATTTATTGCTATGGGGCTGGAGTTGGCAACAGGAGATCCTCCAGTGTATGGCAATATCCCATCATACTTTGGAATGTGGACCGGCGAATTAGGCCAAATCTTCATACTTAATTACAAATGAGAAAAAATATATTGTATATACACGTATATATACATAGAATATTTATCATAATTTAGAAATAAATAAAAAGGTAGATTTCATTATAAGTCCACAATATCGGTAGTAAACAATCAAATTCGTTGTATAAACACAAAATATCTGTATGCATATACATAGGTATACGTGCATACATATATACGAGTATATACATATATAAACACATGTACATATACATATGCATGCAATGTTTCATACCATATGCTTGTGCATAGACCAAAATAACATATGTAACATGGTGATCTGATACAAACCACAGAATATGCCAGTAATGCAATCTATTCTGCAACAATTAGGTATATTAAAAACAACGATGCAACAACAACGATGTTTGGTTGGCGAACTATCAAACACGTCGTATTATCTTTGATTTTGAGTTTGAAAGTGCAACACATTCAGTAAGGTTGTAAGAGGTCGAGGAGAAATCCTTTGATGTTGAGTACATGATCGTCGCAACGTATCGGATCACTCTTCAAATTTCGCTTGTATGTATGTATGTATGTTAGAGTGTGGTGTGGGAACACAGGTTCTGTACTGCCACAAATTAAATTCACCGTCTTATAACTTGAGGCTTCACTAGCATTCGTATATAAGTATGGACAAGTTTAATTATCGTCTAATAAAAATGAATAAAATATAACTTTTAGTCTTTTTTGCTATAACTTCTTTATGTCGCGCCTGCGCTTTAACTTTACCAACACTTCCGATCACGATCGAACCCGAAAACGTACTAAAAATCATACTGGCGCTCCTAAGCAAAAGTCTTAAAGTAAAGCAGTAGCTGTTGCAAAAAAAGCTTTGAAATCTAAGTTTTGCACCCGCAAAAATTTCAATGTAGTGGTGAGCTGGTATACCATATATGTTTAATTCATTTCGCATATAAAACATATGTACATATGTATGGGTGCACAGAGCAGCCACTCTGAATTGTCTATTTCGGTGCATTTGTATTTGTGCTCTGAAGAAAGATATTCTTCAGCGCTCTTTATTGGAGTCAGAGTCGAAATGGAGTTCGGTTATTTCGGGTGACTTTATCACTCTCGTGTATATGTAAAAATACGAAAATCCCGATGTTTGATGTATACGAGTACATAAATACTAATGGCTGTTTCTGAATAAGCATGGCTATACATACTCGTACATGGATGTACTTACTCGTACATACATTTATCACACAAGTTTTGGCGAGTTTGGACGTTTATGTGATATTGCGAATGTATGTGTGTATGTAGATATCAAATTAATTTTAGCTGTAAGCGTAAAACCGGTTGAATTTGTAGTGTATACCGGCTGGTCTTGATAAAGAGTTAATAAATTTGTATGTACGTACGCTGCATGCGTACATACTTCACAAAAAATTATGTAACTAATCTTAAAAAGGAGTATTTCGAGAACATAACGTAACTATGCCCTAACAAGTGTTTCTGGTAATAAATTATCAACGAGTTGGATTTTTTCAGCCCTACAGATAAATGAAATAACCTACTTTGAATGCTATGAGCGCATTAGCAAATGCAATTCTCAAGCATATAATCAGAATGAAAAAGTTGTACATAAACTTAAGCTTATGTTCATTCAAGTATAAGTTGTAATGCTAAAGAATCAAACCCCTTTTGCATAAAAATTTTGATCTCTAACTTTGAAGAAGTAATCGTTACCGTTATGTTATGGTATTTCGCTAAAGCAATCCGACCTACGTTACTTTGCAAACAAACTACGCCTAGTCTATAGGGCCCGAGAATATTTGTGCTTACATGGGCCGTGGTAGCCGAGTGGTTAGCATTGCGTACTGCCATTCGGAAGGCTCAGGTTCAAATCCCCGTGTGATCAACATCCAAATGTTATATAAAATGTTTATATAAAAATTAACTTAAATTTTCTAATTGTGGTCGAAGTGTGTTTCTGACATGAAATAAAACTCCTCACAAGTAAACCATCAGCCGTTCGGAGGTGGCGTAGTATAAACTATTGGTCCCTACATTTGTTGGTAAAACATCAAGACGAAAAACCACAAATTGGAGGAGGAGCTCGGCCGAAAATCGCTTCAGCGGCTACAAAGCGCCAATTATATATATATATTATTTTAGATAGCACGGTCTTTGCACACTTGAGCATACTTAAGTTTCTCGAATACCAAAGCCAATACAATTAGTGGACGAGACGATAATAATTTGATTTCATATTATGGGTATTCTTTTGGCCAAAACATTGGAACCAACTATTTATTGAAATTTTATTATTTATGAGTTGCTATGACAGTAGAATGGCGGTCTAAAAGGTCCCGGTTCAACTTCCAGATATTTAAATTACTTTAGTGCCACTGCATAATTTTATTGATTGGCCATAAATGAATAAAACGTGAAATTAAAATGTATATGTATGTAGAATGCACTTTCTCTTTAGTTATTTTAAAGTCTTACATAAAAACATTTATAGAAAAATTAATTTGATCATAGAAATATGATATTTCTATATACACATATAAAGCATTTTTATTAGTATAAATTAGAGTTCCCGTTTGTTATTTTAAGATGACCTATTGGATGGAGATCGGGTTCTTAAACGGCCAACCGCAAGTTCCTTGTGGTTCGAAAAAGGCCGTTAAATCTTTTTCGACAAGTAATTTTGATGGAAAATCATATCCATAATTTCCATGCAATACTTCCAGTGGGCCATTTAGCCCACACTATCAGGAATCCACCGCCAAGTTTGCGTTTCTAGCCATTCTGTCGGGGATTTCGCTGTTGCCAAATATGTTGACTTCCGTTACTAAGACTTATTTCATAAAAATATATCGTTCAGAGGTGGCTTAGAATAAAATGTAGGTCTCTCCACAACCTCAGCGTTAATTATATACTATGTTTATATACTATATATGCATGTATATATAATAACGGAGATATTCACAGTACGGCACTCAGATGCTAAATATATAAATTTCCTTTGCTTAAAAAAGTTGACTATTTTTTTGGAGCTTGAGAACCTTTGTTGTTCCACAGGAACATAGAACTCGTCACAGTCAGTAACTATAACTGACGGCCAACCGGCAGAACTATTCAAACATTGTGGTGAAGAGCTGACAAGGTGCATGCCTCAGCTACTTTGCGGAGTTTGGTTTGACGAAAACATGCGTCACTATTGTCACACTGTATGAAAGAAGCCCAACGTCAACATACTGATTGGACCTTATCAGTGTGGGTTTAAATTTGATAAGTCAACCATTCACCATGAGCCAGATCTTGGAAAAGATGCGTGAAAAGACACCCACCACCTCTTCGTCGATTTTATTTATTTTTTTATGTCTGAATTCGGTAAACCCGCATACTGACGTTAGGCAACACTAAAAGCTCTGTCAGGATCGGGAAGGTCCTCTCCGAGTTGTTCTATACCAAACGAGATTTAAGACAGAACTGCAGAGCTGAATAGAGAAAGTACAATCTTCTATAAGAGTGTACGCCGATGATATTGACATTATGGTCTCAACAGTCGCGCTGTGAGTCCTGCTTTCTACAGACTGGATAAGGAAGGAAGCGAAGGATATGCGTCTGGTAGTGAACGATGGTAAGACGAAACATCTCCTGTCATTACACAAACAATAATCGTATTCGCAACTCGGCTCCCATGTCACTGTGGACGGTTATAACTTTGAAGTCGTAGATAACTTGGTTTATCTTAGAACTATTATTAACACCAACAACAATGTCACCATGGTTATCCAACGCAGAATCCCTCTGGTCAAACAGGTACTACTTTGAACTGAGTAGCAAAGAAAGCAAATTCCTCTCCTGACGAACGAAAACCAAGTTCTACAAGTCCCTCGTCGCGCCCGTCCTGCTATATGGTCGGAAGAGTGGACGATGACAACATGTGATGAGTCGACGTTAGGAGTTTACGAGAGAAAAGTTTTACACAAGATTTACGGTCCTCTACGAGTTGGTAACGAAGAATACCCCAACCGATGGAATGATGAGCTGTATGAGATATACGACGACATTGACATATTGTAGTTGATAGAATCAAGATACAGCGGCTACGCTGGCTGGGTCATTCGGCTAAAATCGCGTAAGCGGCGTTTACGCCAGTAAAGTAAGTAGGTGCTTACTGAAGGTAAATATGTACTCGTATGTAAGTGGCAGAAAAATTGAATATCGTATCATAACATATATGTACATACATAAATGTGCACATGAGTTGAGTTGAGTTGATGCGGCTGCTGTTGTTGCAGCACAATTAGGCCAATAGGCCCATTGTTATACCTTGGAGGCTCCTGCCTTCACCTTCTCAGATGAGCCAACCATTTCGTGTGCCTTATAAAGGCAACGAGATTTCCAATATTCGCTGAGGCTATCTCAGCAAGACAATCGGAGAAATGTTTCCTAAGAAATTTGTATCACGCTGATGTCATGGCGGGACAGTGGCAAAGGTAGTGCTCAATGGTCTCCTCATCTTGTTCATCCCTGCAGCTGCGGCAGAAACCATTAGAATGATATCCCATTTTTCCCGTGAAGCCCCATTAAACAGTGCACATGTACAAGGTGGTAATTTAACCAAAATATGTGTACGCAATGATATAACGGTATATATATATGGATAGGATATATGTGTATTCGTCCAAGCATACATTTGCATTATCGAAGGTAGCATGTGAGGATGATAAGGAATTTATTACATTATGATTTCGTTTCGATTATGAAAATTGCAAAGATACCTTGAAATTCATACATATGTACATACATACATATATACAAATACTTCTACTACTTCGTACCGCAAATACGAGTATCAGTGGGGATGTATTTTTTTAATCTTCAGAAAAATTTTTTATATTCACACAGATATTAACTATTTTTAAGGTAAATGGGATATGTTATAACGCCTAATTTTTCTACAAATGGCTTGGTCCATATGTACATACATAAAGGGTGAAATTTTAAGAGCTATATAAAAGTTTTTAGAAAAAAAAATCACATAAAATTCAGAAAAATGCATGAAATCTTTATATGAATCAATAGTACGGTTCATATAATTTAATGTTTGAAGATTATTTCATGCCAATGTTGACCGTGACTGCACCTAAAATGGTCCATCCGCTTAGCCCAATTTTGGCATACCCTTTCCAACATTTCGGTCGGTATCTCACGAATAAATGTTTCAATGTTGTCCTCCAATGCGTCAATTGAAGCGGTCTTGTCTGTAGTTAATTACTTTATGGCGCAGACACCGCTTACGCGATTATGGCCGATTTAACAACATTGCGCCATTCGTTTCTTCTTTTTGCTGTTTGTCGCCAATTGGAAATATCAAGTACAGTTAGGTCCCTCTCTACCTGGTCTTTCCGACGGAGTGAAGGACTTCCTTTTCCTATGCTTCCACCGGAGAGTAGTGCATCGAAAAGTTTCAAAGCTGGAGTATTCGTATCCATCCGGACCACATGACGCAGCCAGCGTAGCCGTGTTTCTTGCTTCGCTGAACTATATCAATGTCGCCGTGTAACTCGTACAGCTCATCGTTCCATCGTCCGCGATATTCGCCGTTGTCAATGCGCAAAGGACCATAAATCTTACGCAAAACGAGCTTGTCTGCATAGACATTAGATTTAATATAGCCTTACAAAAATAGTCTAAAGGCGATGAATAGCACGATCTAGGCGGCCAATTGATCGGTCCCGAGCGTGAAATAAAATGTTCACCGGACTCGACTTTCAATAAGTCCATTGTTACGTGTGCTGTGTGGCATGTGGCAGCGTCTTGTTGAAACCACATGGCATGCAAGTTAAGTTCTTCCATTTTGGGCAAATATAGTTTGATATCATCTCACCCATCATCTTTGAAGAAGTACGGTCCATTGATGCCATCAGTCCATAAACCGCACCAAACGGTGACTTTTTCTGGATGCATTGGTAGCTCTTGCAATGCTTCTGGCTGATCTTCACTCCAAAATCGACAATTCTACTTATTTACGCAGCCGTTTGCATTTGATAGTAAAATTCAATAATTTGCAATCGTTGTTCGTTTGTAAGACGAGACGATTCATGGTTAAATTTTAGACCAAACTGAAGATGTTTGACAGTGATACAAAACACGAAACGTGCGTCAGCTGTTTAAACCAGTGTTGCCAAAAAGATAAAAGCTAAAAAATCACTCTTTATATTGATTATAACTTTAAGGACTAAGGCGCCTCCGAACAGCTGATGGTTTTTTTATGAGGAGCTTTATTTCATGTCAGAAATACATTCGTAGGGGTTGACACTCCCTGCCGAGGTGCTACAGCAATTAGAAAATTCAACCTAATTGTTTACTTAATATATTACATTAAATAATACTTATATTCAAACAATCTTTAATTATATGCATAAGATAAATTAATAGAACAATGCAGAAAAATTATTGCATGTATTCGTACGTTATAAGGAATAAATATTGTTATCGATTGGATAGGAACTGCACACCGGTATGCGGTCATGTGTTTGATACCTTGTGAGACCCTCTACAAAAATAGATAATAATAAAGCTAAGCCCAATGGTTACCCTCCTCCCAGCCAATCGACACGAGGGCGCCATCCGCATGACGAAGGGAATTTGATTATGCTACAAACGATATTTAGTGAATTCCTATAAAGAAATAACGAAAAGCGAATCTTTTAAATCAAATGTGCTGGAAAAACAATCGAAATCTTGACTTATACCACGAAATGATGCAAATAATTCAAAATTTGTTTTGCTAGATTTTAAAAATAGTAGTCTAAAATATGGTGATAATCGAATGGGGGCATTAAAATTTACTTCACCTCAATGCTAATCAATCCGTTTAAAAGTTTTGCTAAAAGCCAACACCCCTAGCATTTCGCAACGACTAGAAAGCGTGGGTAGACCTTTAAGTTTTAAGCGACTAGTATACCTTGGAATATTTTGGGGGAAATTCCACTGGAAATGGCGGAAAGCAAACAACAAAAACGGACTCAATTTTATCAGACTGAACATTATAATTAGGACTCCACACCACTGAACCGCACTGGAATATTGGACGCACTAATGGTGTAAAAAGAGTTTTGGTAATATAAGGGCCTTTAAATCGTTAGACCATTGACTCATAAAAGCAAGGGCGCCTTTAGCTTTTAGCACCCAAGTCAACAAAATGACTCATTTATTCCGGAATACATTTGTCTTTTGTGTAAGATGGTGATTGAAGATATTTGCGTGAAAATAACATGGTTTTACATTCGTCAAGCTCAAGGGCATACCTTTGTTATTGCACCAAATTAGGAACTTATTTCAATCGGTTTGTAAAAAACACCTCTCCTTAATTGAGGTATATGATTTAAAAAGCTTTACATCATCGGAATATAATACATTTTTTTTTTAATATTTTATAACTGAGGCAAATCATTAATAAATAACAAGAACAGAATCAGTGGATAGTTATGTATAAGTTTTTCTAAATTTTCTATCTTTCGGCAAGAAATGTCAACTCTAAGTGTATTTTTAACACGAAAATAACAAATTAATTATAAAATATAATTAGTCGTTAGCACTTTGCTTGAAGCGCGAGATTTTTGAAAAAAAGACATTTCAAATTGTGACAGAATCCGAGCCTGCTTAAAAATTCGGATAATAAAAATGTTTAAGGCAACCACGGTTTCTTCAAACCGAAAAAATTCTTATGTTTTGTCTAAGTACTGCTTTATACCAACTAATTGATTTTTAGAAAACCGTACAAACAGGCCTTGAAATGAATAGACCGATACCTTTCTGCGACCTATGGATTTTGTAGATTCTGGGATTCTTAAACGAATAATATTAAAGAAATGCTTGATTCTTATTTCTCTATTCATAACTTTGTTATTCTAAAAATGTTGAAATGTCTTAGCATTTAAAAAATGTGTCCTATCCGCTTTCCAGCGTGCAATACTCGTATGTAAGAACAAATATTATGTTCAATAAACATCGGGGTTTACTTACTATTCTGGGCTGAAGCAACCTGGCATAGTGGATGTGATAACATCAAAAGGAATGTCATTCATGATTGTGCATTCATAACTTGGCTGGAATTTTTCTTGCTCCGATTGCGGGCGCCTTTGAATTTTCTCCCGATCTTGTTTATGCTTGCGATCTGCACCCTTTAGTTTAAATACCTATAAAAGAAATAAATATATAAATTAACAAGCAAATGTAATATATAAATGTACATAAGGCTTTGAACTAGGCACACGGGTTCTCTTTGTCAAATGTTTTCATTCACTTTCCTTTATTTTTCTAAAAATTTTTATTTTCAGTGTTTTCGTTTGGTCAAAAGTTATATGTAATAGAATGGGCGCTTTTTGCCCGTGGAGAGTTCCCATACGGAATTCAGTGCTGAGCAAAGTGTGCTTGAAGTGTCATTTTCAGAAAATATTGGGAACTGGAAATTATAAAATTCGAAAAGAAATAAATATTTCTTTAAAATTATATTATTTGAAATGATCAAACAAATTTTTACTTGCAATGCACCTCTAATAGCACAAATGAATGTAGAAATGAACACAACGCTCTGGTCTTGGCCAATAAGATACCTGAGTCTGGTACAGTCGTCAATTGAAACTACTCCAGTGGTTGTAAATCTGTATCTTGAGAAGATAAAAACCATTTTGGTAGTAGTAGAATGCAAAAGAAGCAGATGGCAGGAAGCAGTAATCCAGAGCCTAAATCGATGCAAATATGTTCTTCTTCATTGATGTTGGCACTTGTTTAATGAAGATTATAGAAAAAGAGAAAGAAAATAAATTACGTAGTGGTTGCAGGGATGTTTTTCATACTCAGAAAACGTGGAATGTGGATAAACATGTCCTTGCAAAATGACTTTTCGTACGCATTAAACAAGAGATGAAGGAAAGCAAAGTGAGAACAAATTCAGAACCTTGCATTAGTCAAGCGTGTGTAAAGGTCTCTGTTGGTGAAAGCAACTGGGATTCTTTAGAATAAAATTTTGTACCGGAGTTTAATGTATAGGTAGTTAGGAGAATAATCCTTATGATACCGTGTTTCCATGACGAAATGTAGTGAAATTATTGTGAAGGTTATTAGAATTTTTTTTTACAATTAACACATCTTATTACTATTTAAAAGTAAGCTGCCTGTTTTTGGTATTACCAAATGAATTGGTCACGGATTCATTGAAATCTACCACATTTTTACAGTGTATTTGCGTTATCATGAGGATGGTATCTCTTATATATTAGATTATACTTAAATATTTTATACGTTTGTTCTAAAGCACTCGAGTATAGTTAAATTTATAATTAAGTATAAAACTAGTGTATAAATTTAGAAATCATTCTTAATTTAGAAGCTGATTTCGACGATTTAAGATTAAAACTCGATTGAGCTACCCTATCTAGAAATTAAGATTTGAATGGAGTAATAAAATAAATGAAATATTGCAATGGCAATCAAACTGAAGACGGCAAAAAGGCTTAATGAGAAAATATTTAGCAGCGCTACCAGCAGTTGGAAACTTACAATTTGATAAATTGATAAGATTCATAGAGCATTACACGAGTAAATTACTAAAGACTTAAGAAAGTTTAGAGGAGAATCGACACCTTTTTGAAATTTTTAATTAAACATTATACAAACATATCACATTAAAATGCTTCATTGTTTAAATATTACAATAGGATATGTGAATCAAAGTAGGGAACATTCAAAAATGTTTGGAGAGGGTTATAACATGCAAATATAATTTGCGACCACAAGAAAAAAGTAATTTATTATTTTTGCATTGCATTGAAGGATTAGAATTACCCGAATTATGTGAAATATGTACCGTTCACACAAACAGTCATCGCATTGGCGAATCGGCTCCAACGTCACTGTTGATAGGCATAATTTTGAAGTCTTAGATAACTTCGTCTATCTTGGAAACAGGATTAACACCAACAACAATGTCAGCCTGGAAATCCAACGCAGAATCACTCTTGCCAACAAATTGAAAAACGGTTACGCTGGCTAGGTCGTGTGGTCCGGATGAATAAAAATACTCTAGCTCTGAAAGTTATCGATACAGTACCCGCCAGTGGAAGCAAAGGAAGAGGAAGACCTCCACTCTGTTGGAAAGACCAGGTAGAGAAGTATCTGGCTCTACTTGGTACCAGACAGCGAAAAAAAGTAAAGAATGGCGCAAGCGGAGTCTACGCCACTAAATTAAGTAATCACACTTATAGATAACTAAAGCCAAACATAAATAAATCAATTAATGGTTCAAGACAGTCAGTAGTGCTTTGGTATTGTAAAAAAAACAGGAGTTTTATCAAAAATTCTCTAAAATAGAATCAATGATTACGAAATAAACCAAATGATTAAAACATTAATACAAAAGATTTAAAGGATTTTAAATTTTACCAAAATTTGTTGTAGCCACACACCGGGTAGTATAATATATATAATATATTCGTATTATATAATTCATTTATTTATAAATACATATCTATTCATTAGTACGAGCGGAAACCTTACATAAGGAATTTCAAGTAAGCACATTTGCCTTTCTTCCGAGCCATTCATATCTTAAAAATTTCCGATTTTTTAAATTTCGTAAAAATGCATGTCCCAGTACCTCACAGCCTCTCGAATAACGTTGGCCAAACAAATTTTGGAATCTCTTGTGCCGGAAACTTTTCTTTTTTGTTGGGTTCTTCACCCTTTGGGTTTCTAATATTGAAAAATTATATATATTTTAAATTGTATATTCTTCCGGATATATTTGTCTCACTCTAACCCATTTTTGCACATTTAAACCAAGTTTTTTAAGAAGGGCTAAACAAACTTCCCATTTAGGCAGGTCTATTGCAAAATCCTTTAAGAATCCGATACAATACTTTCTCTGAATATCTATAAAAATATATAGACAAAATATTCGTTTGTCTGAATTTTCTGCTTTTTATCAGATTTAATGTGCTAGTAAAGGTTGTGCGTTCATTATGTTCTACGAATATAATAAATAAATGTATAACACAAAAATTATGACCACAAACCTTGATTTGACATGCCGCGGCGTGCACTGGTTGCTTGCCACTTCCGATTGGCTGGTTACTATTTACGTTGTGGTTTGGCGTCAAATTGCCGGATGCGCCCGTTGGCATTGTGAGACCAATTTGCGAGGGTGCAGTTACTACACTTGCTGATGCAGCTGGTGTTGCTGAAACAGCACCTGTTGATATTGGTGTCGTTGGTGTCATTGGAGCTGCTACCGTCGTGTTAGTTGACTCTATATAAGTTTCAATTTGTAGTCTAAATGGTACACCTTTTTCGCCACCATGTTTTTTGGGTGTAAATTCAGTTGAAATGCAATTAACTTTAATGTACACTCCGACTTCCTTTAAAGGGTCCCAAAATATTTCGACTGTATTCAAAAAATTTGGATTCAATGGCTGTGATACATGACAAAGTCCATACGAAAGAGGAACATCGACTTCAATAATCCGTTCGCCAGGGCGCGAAGCTTGCCATTGTTGCATTTGTTCGCGTTCCATAAACTGCAAGCGCCGCTCGTGGAAGCAGATCTTGATGACACTCTAGGGCAAAAAGAAAAAAATATGTATTTTTATGTAAATAACAACTGGGGTCATTTTAGTTCTTCTAATCAGTCGTATTTGATCTTAAGATTCTAAACTTTATCTGACGTCATGAATTACTGTACCAATTTTGATAAAACTTGCAAATAAAGTATTTTTACTTCGGACTACTCGATTAATTTATTCGATGTCCAGTAGTTTTTGAGACAAGTGTTTACTTCTAAAATGAAGGGGCCATATTTATTTCTAATCTTATTATGATTCTTGAATGCTACTAATACCAGTTTCGATTCAGGTTTTAAGGCTCATGCACACGCCGAAATTTTTTCCACGCAAATTAAAAAAGTATTCACCCTTACAATTGTCGTAATAAATGCGATATCTAAAGAAGTTAATTTGGTCGGGTCTTACCGAATAAACAATACATACATAAATTAGCATGTACAAATATAAACAATAAGCAATAATTCATATAATATATACATATGGATACGTATTTCAAAATTTCGGTCGTCATGAAGGCATGAAAGAATGATGAATAGTTATTATCATCCTAGTCGAAACCATAAGGTAATCCAAGGTAATTGGAACTATGTTCTTTAAGCCTAGGCAAGCCTATGTTGTACTTGTACATGTTTTTAAGCTATCCTTAAAGTCGAACTGTATGAGGCTTTCGTTTCGTTCTGCCTCGGAAATAGGTTTGGCAGATGTTATCGATATATGTATTACGTAAGTATATATGTATGTATGTATTTGCGTCGCTCGCGAAAAAAATATTCTAGAGAAAGCGAGGCGAACAACAATTAACTTTTTTTTTTGCTTCCCTCGGTTGGCTTCGGTTTGTTCTCAAGCTTTCATCCGTTGAGCAAGGCGAAGCAAGTTTTATGTGAATCAGCCACTATGACCATCTGAAAGCTTTCCTTTGAGTTTGTGTCACTCTGTGTGTCAATTTATTCAATTTTTTTTTATATAATTTATTATCTTTGAAAATAATTTTGAAAATATGATTTCGTTGGATTTCTTCCATTTTTAATTAATAACATGTTGTTGGCTTGAATGCAGAAGAGATTGAACTAAATTAAATTATTTTTAAAAATCTTATCTAAATGTCGCTCTATTCTGTATATAAACTGTACATAACTATGCTCATATACTCTCAAAGTTTTTGTCTATTTCGAACTTTCCCAATAAAAAAAAATAGATAAAAAGAAAAAAAATAATTACATATATTATATTTCATTGTAATCATATAAGAAAATGAAGCGTCTTCGGATGAAATTTTCACTACCTAAATTGTGTGTATATAATAACAAGCGCACATACAAATATGTAGATATTTTCATACAAGAGCATACATATAATCAGTTTTGCTTTTTAAAATTGCATTGGGTTAGTTACGGTCAATATTTATTTTACTGAGATCGCAACACAACAAACACAGTTCTAGCACGAGTATGCATATTATGTAAACTTACTAACATTTGTACGCACATACATGCATATCTATGTACTAAGTATTAATTTCTATATAATATGTAAGTATGTACGAATACGACGTTTTTAAATGTGATTGCGTCAATTGTAAGCAATTGTACGTGCACCGCCCGTCCCTTGGAACTGTCTGTGGTCCATACACCTACGATCGTCAAGTACAGTTAAAGAGTTGTCATCAAAACACAACGCCGCTCTCAATCTTCCCGCATATGACTTGCACGCAAAAAATCAGCGAATCTTCAACGCAATTATACAACCAACCTACTCGTCGAGCTCAACGAATGATAAATATCTTTCGTTTATTGTACATATGTATGTACACGTATGTACAATACAATACTTAAGTGATGCACGAGCGCGTGTACGTTTGCATATACGAGTATGTATGAGGGAATATGATTGGCTACGTTTGTGGCAATTTGTTTTAATTAAAGCATATTAAAATCAATTTAGCTGAATAAATTCCAATATACTGAATATGTCTATTAGATGTTCTTATTGTGTATGCATGTATGTTATGTGTGTATGCTCAAATTCAAATAAATAAATATGACACTTTAATACATACAAATGCATAAGAATACATACAAACACATACATATATTAAAGTATGCAAAATATTAAACAATTCAATAAATTCAAAATTATAAATTCTGCCTGCATTGTTTGTTTTCTATCCGCATTTATTTCTAAAAATTTAAGATATTTTTCTAAAATTTTCGCCATATTTATAACAAGAGTACCGATCATTATTTAGACCAATCAATTAAGTTGGCTAGATTAAAAATAGTTAAGTTAGTCATTATTTTAAACACTTTAATTTTAAAATCTGCCTTTAACTTGTTTATAACTATGAACTGAATTGTTTTGCAGATACATAAGCATGGCTGGCGATCCTGACTTAAATTACTCAAGACAGTATTTATCTCTACCTTCAGTATCTTATCACGGTAAAATGATAAATCGCCAATCTTCTTTAATTTGATTTCATAGCTCTGTCCTTGATTTAGATATGTGAGTGTTTCCTCATTATTCTTCGTAGCAATAGATGTAGCAGCTGCCAAAATATACTGAAACCTAAAAATTACATGGCAGTAATTACAACAATGTACATTTGTTGGATGTATGTATATATAATAATCTTACTTGTGGTCATCAGAGTGCGCATTGGTGTTGTTGCCATTAGCGGCGCAACCTCCAGTACTGTTTTCAGTTTTGCCACCCTCGACCGCAATCAATTGTTGAGGTGGTGAATTTCCTTGTGCTAAAAAAATAACGGTTTTAGAAATCTAAATATACATGCATATCATAGCGATTGCGGGCGTACACGTATACATATGCAATTTTATATCTCACCAATATTCTTTTCACCGACACCGTAACCCGAACCGGTATTACCGAAAGCATTAGTTCCACTGGCGGTGGGCTTGTCAATAGTATTTCCGTTATGTTCAACTTCTATTGAAGCACCAGTTTTTGGCGAACCGCATCCGCAGATAGAAAAATTTAAGGCATTTTTTGGAGAGTCTTCGGTTGTTGCCGACGAGTCAATTTGGGATTGTGTCTTATCTAGTTTAGATACACTACCAGCGCTGCCACTTAGAGTCGAATGAGAATTTATTGAAATTTTATTCCCCTTCAACTGATCGGTTTGTGGTTCCTGTTTTAGCACTGTCAGGGCCGGAGAAAATGACAAAAAGGATTCACTGGTGGAAGAATTATATAGTACACAATGGAGTTATTTTAAAATAACGACAAATGTTGTAATTAATTTTTTGTTTAACTACTTACTTGCTGAGATAAGAGTTGCTATTGAAGTCTGTATTCAAATCAAATCCAATATCTTCAGTCCAACTGCCACGACCTAGACAAGTATGTATTTAAATATAATTTTAATCTCAGAGCAATTTTGATTTAAAAGTGAATTTATTGAATAATATCACTGAATAAACTAACAAATACAAAACCACCATAAGAGTAGCCAAAACAAATTATACAAAATCTTCTATTTTAAGAATGTTCTGTAGAAATGTAATTTGAGTTTGACATATTAAATGAATGGTAATAATTATAAAGTTTAAAACTTTACCGCAATTATTTCAATGGTATGTTATAATTATTTCTGGCAACTAAAGGTCCCAGCATATCTCGTTTTGCTTTCCTTGATTGTTTGATAGTGAAATTTCCACGCTCGGAAGATCAGTAATGAATGTAGGAAACAATAGAGATCAATTCGGCTGCTTTGAGGTAAACTAAGCTATGAGGTTTGCAGTGGGCGGGACTTGATATTTACATAATAAAAAGAAATAATTTTTTTCTTTAAAAAAATTACATGTATGTAAATATGGGAAAGTATTTCTCACACAGAAAAAATGTCAAAAATTAGTAAACAACAAGTGCATGGTGCAAAACAGGGCCCAGGTGGCCGAAGACCACCAAATGTGCATAACAGCTTTACATAAAGGCACTGCTGCGGTTGCGTTAATATGTAAGTGCCCACCAATTTTTTTAAGCAATTCTTTATTCTTGCAGATTTATTACTTGTTAAATATCCAATAAGTTCAACTTTTCTTGATGCTTAAACTTGAATATGCGAAAATATCGCACGTTTGTTTCAATTTTCCATAATGACCCACTGAACACATTTTCACCCCTTCGAATTTTTAAACACGTTTTTTCACAAAATAGAGATTATCCATTTACCAAAAGCTTTTTAGCAAACGAAGAAAATATGCGAAAATCGGTTTCTATAAAGCATTTTTAAAAATACTGGCTTTTCCATTAGAATTTTGATAATTTTTCTCTTATTTGAAATTATTTACTCATATCATTCATATTACATGACACTAAAGTCAGAGTTGCTAGCTATGAAATTTTCGCTAAAAAATAATATTAATTTTCATGAGTTTAAAAATGTTTGAAAATTGAAATACATTTTTATATCTTTCATTTTAAACCTATCCAACCTTCTTCCTATAGCAAAATAGCTATGTTGTGAAACAAGCTTATAACTTTGCTGATTTATCGGTTACGGTGGGCCATAGTTTAATTTCAATCTTGAACAACTGACGGTGCAGAGAATTTAGAGACCATTATGTCACTATCATTAAAAATACTACTTTAGAGAGATCCTTATTAAATATGAAACCCTAATTACCAAGTTCATTCGAATGTTCTAGAGTGTGCTCAATAAAAGTTCTGCGTTTTGTTTTAAGACTCTAGATTAAATGGTCCTTCTTATATTAGCAGTTTGAGGCTTTTGAATCTACCCACATTGGCTATTAATTGAGAAATCTTAAATGATACCCCTGTATGGTTACAGGAAATGTGGATAATGTTTTATTTTAAAAATCTGATGTTCATTTTGAAAAGAAAAATGGCTCTGTTCGGCGAAGAAGGTAAGTAGAATTAGCCAGTAAGAAAATTAATGGATGCCTTAGCCAGCAAGTTTTACAGTGGTTTGGACTATTTTCATAAGTATTGTCATGAATTTAGCAATTTTATGCTTCTGATTTTAATTCAATTGTATTTTAACAATAATAAAACTTTTTTTTTAATTTATGTACATATGTGCATGTGCTTTTCTGAAATTCAATTGATTCTATATGGTTATATTATATAATACAAATGTTATATATCTATAATATACATATGTGTATTTATATATGTCTCCGAAATACATGAGTAGTACATTTGTACAGTTGTTTACAGTTTGTACAGCTACTTTCTTCTCTTAAAAAAATCTATCATTTGTGGAGAATTTTCATATTTTTTCAAATATTTAAACATGCAAAAATCACTTATTATATTGTATTTGATAATGGACTTCATCGAGAATATGTCTTTTATGATTTTTGTATTACAACTTTAGTCAGTGGTAAGAAAGTATCAGAAAATGAAGAGATTCGCCCACAAATACTATAAATCGTTTTCAAGAAGAGGATCTGGCTGAATTTTTAATATCTACGCTTGAATGCAAATCAGTCTCACAGTTTTAGATTTTACGAAGTTCAGGAGATTGCTGATGCCTAGTGATACAAGCCATGCTCAGAAATCGAAGAAGATATATCCGAAAAATCCATAACGGACCGCAGAGTTAACCGCGGTTAAGACTCCTTATCCGGTCATCTGCTTTGAAGATAAACAAAAACTAATTAAATAATCTCCGAGTTAATATTTTTTAAGTGGCAAAATCAAACAATTCTGAGCAAACACGTTTAGTGTCAAAAATTTTGAAGTAAAACTATCTTATAGAATTTATGTATAATGGTTGGAGCAAACAAAAATTTGCTTCCCCGTCAGTTTGGGGAAGATTACTTTAATAAAATATTTTTTCTTTTTTAATGACGACTCCAAAGAGAGTAAAAACTAATGACAAAAGTTGGTTAGGACAACAATTTAAAGGAGGCTTCATTTAGTTTGTTCAGGAGGCTGCTGGGCAGTAACAATTCTTACTTATTGCACTGCCTAAATTCGGGGGAATTTTTTCTCCAATGCAAGTCGATTTTAGATTTCTTTACTAAAAATTTTATCTATTGCCGGCAAACTGACCTATCAGTTAGTCAGATATTTTAATGGAATTTTTAACATTTGTTTTAAAAAGAGCTGCCAATTGTTTCGGTTATAAAAATTCCATAATTTCACTTCGGCTTTAACGACTATTAATAAATACATTAAATATTTCCCAAAACTTTTAAATTCAATATATTCGCTAATTATAAATGTATCCAGATGTAAAAATAGAAATTTGGGAAAATATGCAATAGTTTCAAGTCTTATTGTTTACTAAAATAAGAAGCAGCTAAGAATTTATTTTCTTATTTCTGCGACTGGAATCCGATATTTCGCAAGGCCCTAAGAGAAGTAACAATATTAAAAGGTCTTCAAGCTGAGTACGTTTAGTCTCAAAAAAAGGAGGATAGCATTTCAAACCGACAAAAGTATTTGGTTAATATCTCTGAAACTAATATTATAAACGACTTTCTACTTGTTATATTGGGTTGCCCAAAAAGGAATTGCGGATTTTTTAAAAGAAAGTAAATGCTTTTTAATAAAACTTAGAATGAACTTTAATCAAATATATAATTGTCATTTTGTTCGATAACCTCTTGCCATCTTCCTGGCAAATTTAGTATTCCACGCTCATAGAACTTCTGGCGTTTATCTGCAAAAAACTCAATCAAATGCGATTTTATAGCCTCATCATTGCCGAAAGTTTTACCATTTAAGGAGTTCTGCAAAGATCGAAATAAATGGTAGTCTGATGGTGCAAGGTCAGGGCTATATGGTGGATGCCTCAAAAGTTCCCAGCCAAGCTCACTCAGTTTTTGGCGAGTGACCAAAGATGTGTGCGGTCTAGCGTTGTCCTGGTGGAATATGACACCTTTACGATTGACCAATTCTGGTCGCTTCTCCTTGATGGCTGTATTCAATTTGTCCAATTGTTGACAGTAAACATCCGAATTAATCGTTTGGTTCCTTGGAAGCAGCTCAAAATATACGACACCCTTCCAATCCCACCAAACAGACAGCATAACCTTCTTTTGGTGGATATCAGCCTTTGAAGTGGTTTGAGCTGGTTCACCATGCTTGGACCATGATCGTTTTCGACTAACGTTGTTGTAAACAATCCATTTTTCATCTCCAGTTATGATTCGTTTTAAAAACGGATCGAATTCATTGCGTTTAAGGTGCATATCACAAGCGTTGATTCGGTGTGTTAAATGAATTTCTTTCAATACATGTGGTACCCAAATATCAAGCTTTTTCACCAGTCCAAGACTTTTTATGTGATAATGAACGGTTGATTTTGGTATATTTAACTTCTCTCCTATCTCACGCTCAGTTACATGACGATCCAATTCGATTAATGCTTTGATTTGGTCATCATCAACTTCATTTGGCCGACCTGAACGTGGCTCATCTTTAAGTGAAAAATCTCCAGAACGGAATTTGCGAAACCAATTTTGACACTGTCTTCCTTTTAAGGCTTCATCACCATACACATCTCGTAACTTTTTAGCAACCTGCTCCGCGTTTTTTCCTTTACGGAAATAATAAAGTAAAATATGACGAAAATGCTCCTTTGTGGGCTCCATATTAAAATTGACGCCAAACAAACAAATGTAAACAAAATTTCGCGCACTTTTTTCTAAAGCAAGCTAAAAGTAACAGCTGATAACTGACAGAAGAAAGAATGCAATTACAGAGTCACAAGCCGTTGAAAAAATTTGTCAACGCCGACTATATGAAAAATGTGCAATTACTTTTTGGGCAACCCATATCTACCCTATGGGTGTCAGTATTTCGCCTCCTACACATTATTCGAGTTTAACTACAAAGGCTAAAGAAATTCATTATGTAGTTGTTTTATATTTTATAGAGTAGCATCAGAGCTCGGATTAAATTCAAATATGTGATTATTTCTTATCTTTAACAAAAAAAAAAACCACAAATCACAAAAAATACAGAGTTTCTAAAGCACAAGCCCATCTATATGTGTGTATGACGATACATGTGTATATACATGTTTTTTTTTTTAATATTTATATACATATAAAATGTATGTACATATATAAAACGATATTTGTACAGTCAAAACTTACGATCGTACCACATAAATCTGTCTGATAGCAAGGGAATATGCGATTACCATTATTGGTGTTGGTAAACGCATTATTCTGCATTTATATATATTTTTCAATAATTGCAGTAGTAACAATATAAAAAGCGAGTCTTGAGTTTTGCGATATTTAATATATGTACGAGTATTACTCAGGTGCCTTTACACGACTTTTAATTTTGCTGGCCATTTTAAAACTGAGCGCACTTTGGACTATTTTGTAGAATGTTCAAATATAATCAATAAGAGATAGATTTAAGTGTAGTAATCTGGTCATCTTTTGACACTACACTGAGAACAATAACATTTACATTTGATTACAGAAATCAAAGGCAAATATTTAAATGAGATAATATTCAATTTGAATTTATGTATGTACAATATGTATGTACTCGTACGTGCATGTTAGTAAATACAATATGTTTCTGTTTATATTAGAGTATTTACTTGCGGCAGCGGCGCATTACCGGCATTTGATTTTAAAACTAACATGTTTTACAGATTGAATTGTACATATAAACAGTAACAGGCCTATTCTGTGCACTTGATAAATTCATCATCTTTATTTATTATTTATCAAGATTGACAATTTATCAAGAATTTTTCTATTCTGCGTGAAAAATAAAAAGCTTTTTACTTGATAAATTGTCAAAATGTCAAATGTTCTTGACAAAGTTTCTTTTTATTGTGACAAATAAAACATCTTTTTTACTGTTTGTGCATAGTTGTGAATAAAAAATTGTAAGAGAGGAAGATACATATTTTACATATGTATATTGCTAAGGGAGAGCACACTTTCGCAAACCTTTCGTTTGATTTGCGAAATTTGCCGTCATCTCTTAGATGAACCTCACTATCTTTAATCATAAAAGCGCTGGTGTCTTTAGATTTCTTTGAGTATGGCTCATATGAAAAAAGTGTAGGCAACAAATTTGTCTTGCCCATGAGTTAGTCGTTTCTTTCCAGAAATGTACTTATTATAAAGATGAAAGGAGGAGAAATAAAATCGGCAGCAGAAGAAATTATTGCAAAATTAGGGTATGTTAAAGCAAATAAAAATACCACTTAAGCTAATTTATCTCAAAAGTATTGCAGCAGGGTAAGAGTCCCAGTTGAAGAACCAAAATCCCCCTAAGAGCTAATGGTGAGAGGCCTACGTACAAATATATTTCATCTCTATAGTTATTTAATAATCAAAATGTAAACATTTTCACATTTGAATTTCCAAAAATATATATTACAATTATGTAATACAACTAAACATATTTATTTATTTATTTTTCCTTTATTCTAAAATAATTAATGTTAGCAAAACGGCTGATTTTTGTTTACATTTCATTGTTCACCATACTTGTGGGGAAAAGCTCAACAAACTGAAGCTTTATGTTTTATCAAGATTGACACAGAATACCAAATAAATACTTTACCTTCATAGGAGAACATCACGGGCGACTCAACTGAATTTACCCTAATATAACTTTGCTCTTTTCGCCTATATTCTAAATCACTTAACATCGGTGCGAACATGGAACACTTCACTCATTCTTCCTTTGTATGAGCAAAATTTCCTACGAACTGCCTTGTATGTCTTCTGAAAAGTTTCTTTAAATATTTATTTTTTTTTTTATTTTATATTTTTTCTACAATTAAAGGGAACTATGCGTTTAATCCGTCTACGAACGACAATCTGATGGTTTTTCTTAACACGTGCTGCCGAGTGGCATTATTATTTATAAAAACAAAAACTTTCCAATTTTTTTTATAGATGTTAGTCAGACTTGGGTACTAATTCTATAACCCTCTTGAAAAAGCATGTACTTCCTCTCACTTAGTTACTATGGAAGTTGGACAACATTAAAAGCTTTTAGCTTCTCTGAGAACTACATTACGAGAATATTTCTGTGATGGTCACAAAGCCCTAATTGCATCTATCTATATATATATACATAAGTAAGTGGATTAAGTTGACCCACCTGTCGTTTTCTCCTTTTTTTGTTTTTCTTTCTCGTGGTGTGGAATTTTACTCGCTAATTCCCCTGATTGTGCTGCGGTCGATGATCCACTTTGTCCAATATCCAAAGAGTCCCAATCCATTCGTCTCTTTCGCGAACCGTTATTTGAATAAATTGTTTGCACGTCGATAATCTGAGGTCCCGGTGATCCTTTTGATTGTTCGTCTGAAAATGGTGTTTAAACTTACCTAAATTATAAAGTCTACATGACTAGTAGGTTTCAAAAGAATTGGAAACATTTTTAACTAACTTATGTAGCTGGCTCGTTTTTAAACATATACATACATATATGAGAGCATACAAAAAGTATTTCCTTAAAGATAGCACTTCTCATAAACTTGCATACCTGGCCAAGATTCCTCTGAGTTGGGTGGAGAGTCTACAAAAGTGATAACATAATCTTGTGCCACTTGTTGTTGTGAATAGCCGTTTATATAATAGCGATTTGTTTTGTTCAATATCTGCAAAAAAAAAAAAAAACATAAGTAAAGGAAAATATTAATTTATTTTAAACATAGTTAATTGATTTTAGAGACGGATGAGAGCTCGAGCAGTTCTAATTTTAACTTTTCATGCCCATAAAACACTGAACCATTTAAAAGTATATTTTACTTCTCACAGTGTGATACCAAAAGGAGTGCAAAAACGTTCATTAATTCCTTTGTAGGATTTAAATATTTAATCCGTCGATTACTAAAAATTAAATCAGACCGCATAGAATTATTTTTTTGGCATATTATTACAATTTAATGGCAAGCCATTTTCCCTGAGACCACATGTCGAATATGGACGCCGTAGAAAATTATCCGCAGTATATTTGCAATCCATTCCATGATCATGATGTACCATAGAATACCTCCAAATAAGTTAATGTTTCCATAGCAGTAAATTATGCGCTCTGCCCTTCTATTCTACTGATGAGTTCTTGCGCGGTGCAAATAGGCATAATCACAAAGATCGAACAGCAGAGTCCTGATACTGCCAATCGCATTATGAGTAATGTGTCTGGGTGGCTTCAGGCTGAGAATGTGTTTGTTGAAAACATTTTTGTTTTAAGAAAAATGTGAAAATAAGAAAAAATAATTTAAATAAATCAGTTCCCATTGGATTATGATTTTACTTGTTTCTTTTGAGTTTTTTGTCTGTATGCTCACACCGTTGGTACAATGTTATAATTTTACTATTTAATTTACTGTTATATATGTATGTAGACTATACTTTTTAGGGAGAAACATACATACATTTAATTATGGAATGGCATCAATGGCTCGCATACTTACTACTTACGCACGTAGGAAATTGAAATCGGAAAAAACTATGAACCATAATCTTAGTACTGAGTTATAGTTTACTTAGTTGGTATAACACTAAAAAGTGAGTGCACTTCCACTAAGTCATGTGTATCATAGTCAGCCAAGCGCAGTACTCTAACAGCCGCGTATGTTTAGACCAACGGCTTAAATGTAAAGGACCATCCTAATGTGCATCTACCTTACATGCATATATGTACGCGTACACGTGCATACTAAAGGAAATCTCTTATACGAGAAAAGAACGGATGAAACGGGTGGTGAATCCACCGAATTAAAATCCTATTTTTGATTATTTCATTTTGAGATTTCAGAAATCCGTTTTATTTAATTATACGCTCGTAAGAAGAATTAAAATATTATATGTTTCATTATTGTAAAAAAATATCATACTCAGACTATAAAACAGTACTACTTTTCCGTTTTTAAATGTTTTACGTGTCAGCGCCACTTGTGCACGAGATATCCATACGTAAATAGAATACTTTAAAAAAATCATCTATAAATTTTCTAAAGCCTTCTAGTGTTATTCGGCCGTTATGACGGTTCAATCGGGGTTCCTTTATTAGCTTATTTATATATTAGTTATAGTAAAAAGAAATCCGTTATTTTTCTTATAGATGGCATTATTTATCTGTATCTCGCGTTGCATAAGTCCGATCGGGTGCCGCTAGATGGCGCACTAAAAAAGCAATTTTGTGATTGGTTGATTCAGTTCTGTTTCAGCGTGAGTCAAAGTTGGACACTAGCAAAGAGAAAATACGCTATATTTTAAAGTTTTTCTTCGATAAGGGCAAGAATACAAGCCAGGCGGCTGAAAATACGAACAACGTTTATGGTCCTGATACTGTTACAGTCAGCCAGGCACAATTTCGGTTTCATTCTGAGTAAGACCGTAATGTAAGCACTGTTTCGCTTGCACAAGCTGAAAATTGCACAAAACACTGTTTGCAACCATTTGAATAAGACTGGGTACGAAAAGTAAAAATTAAAGCATTCAATTTCATGCAAAAATAATGGAATTCTTCTTACCACACCTAATATACATGTTCAAAATTTGTAGCCGGCTCTAACTTAACTAAATTTCCCCTTATATTATTTACTTATTTCAGCTAACTGGTAAAAATCTCAAAATTCCAATGATTGAATGGTTTTAAATAATCAAATTCATCCAAACTTCAACTTACGGAAAATGTAGAAAACGGGTACATTAAAACATATTTTTCTGGACGGCCTATAGAGTAAATATTGATAGAAATATGGCCATAAATAAGAAAAATGGTAAGCCCTTTAATTAGTAGGTTGTCTAAGCTTTGTGGCTATTTCTTATTTCATATATTTACATTTGAATATGATTTCTAACTATCATATCAAAAGTTTGATTTGTAATATTCGTTGCGGTTCACTCACTTCCAAGAAATAACGAGAAATATTAGATGTTTGAAAGCTATTTTGAGTTTTGAGATTAGTGGTTGATGTTAACGTTTTTCAAAATGGGTTTGCGAAAAGTCTCTCATGCTTAGAGGCAGAATTATGCCAAGAAAAATCTATCATGAACCTTTGGGAGACATACCTAAAAATGCCGATCTGGTAACTGGAAACTTTCCCAAAAATAAATTGCTATTTTAGTTACTTCAAGCCTTATCGGACTTAATTTATTTCGTTTTATTATCGTTATTTCGGTATAGCGAAAAATTCGGATCTGAAAAATCTGAAGCAGTTTTGGTTGGCAGATTGAGTAGGCTTACTTTCGGTTAACAACTTAGAACGTAATTTTTCAACCTACCAAAACTTCTGTCACGTCAGTTATCTAAAGGGTCAACACATCACTGATTAATGTTGTTAATTGTTACTAAATAAATTTGCTTTCGCAAATCATGAAGGATGACGAATTATCGCGCAACCCAATGGATATATTTTACTACATAAGATTTTAAAGATCAAGTTCTGGTAAGCGACCATATAAAAAGTCCGCTTTAAGGAGTTCAAGTCCGAACATTTTCGAGCATATCGAGCAATTGGGCAAGAAGTGCTCATACTTTCCTTCATTGCTCATTGCGAGGTTGTGCGCTGAGTTCAGCCCCAATATAAAAATTTTACATGCCTCGGATGAGAGACTTACCTTACGACACCCGCAAACATGTAAAGGATCATGATTTGAGGGCATGCACCTGGAATGTGCGACCATGTGAAGGAGCGCAATTTTGGTGTCGGATTGGTGGTGGAAGAGAGACTCCGTCGTCGAGTACTTGCATTCACCCCGATGGATGAACATTTCGCCACAATCCGCATCAAAGTGAAATTTTTCAACATATCGATGATTGGCGCCCACGCCCCGACGGAACGGAAGGACAATTTGGCCAAAGATGCCTTTTATGAGCGCCTAGAGCGTACTTATGAACGCTGCCCCCGACACGATGGGAAAATCGTGCTTTGCAATTTTAATGCCAGGGTGGGTAAAGAAGGTATCTTTGGTTCAGTCTCCACAACGAAACATCTCCTGATGGGTTGAGGCTGATCGCTGAGACCCGAAATATGGTTGTCTGTAGTACTAGATTCCAGCACACAAAAAAATACATCAAGCTACTCGGCTATTCCCTGATCGGAAAAACACAAAACCAGATCGATCATGTTGTGATAGACGGAACACATGTCTCCAGTATTCTTGACGTGCGAACACTCCGAGGACCCAACATCGACTCGGACCACTATCTTGTTGAAGCGAAGATATGCACGCGCCTGTAAGAAGAAAACCCGTCAACAAACACAAGGAAAGTTCGACGTTGAAGAGCTGCAATCTCAAAAGACTGCACTCATCAGCAACTCGGTATACGAGAGCTGTTGGACGGCAGTTCAAGCTTCCTATGTACAGCTGCAAACAAAACTATTGGATTTCGGAAAGGTTGCAAAACCCACTGGAACTATGAGGACTGCCATGGCGCAGTGGAGGGAAAACAGACTACATACCTCGCAACGTTGCGATTGACCACAACACGTTTGGGATGGGATAGATACCGAGATCTGAATTGGAAAGCAAAACGCATCTGCAGACAAAAAAAGAAAGAGGCCTAGAAGCGTGAATATGAAGAGCTTGAGAAGCTGGCTGACAAGGATAATGCTCGAAAGTTCTATGAGAAGATACGACGACTTACAGAAGATTTCAATACCGGACTTCTGTAGGACACAAAGAGGTGATCTAGCCAGCGATGCCAAGAGCAATTTGAATTTATGAAGGAGACACATCTCCAGCCTTCTGAATAGTAGTGAAAGCGAGGTATCTGGATATGGTGAGCCTGAAGCCCCAATCGATGACGATGGAAAAGACATTCCATGACCTGACTACGAAGAAGTTCGAATAGTAATCTCCCGGTCAAAAAAGTACAAAGCAGCTGGAGCTGACGGCCTCCCGGCAGAACTATTCAAACATGGCGTGAAGAGCTGACAAGGTGCATGCATCAGCTACTTTTCAGAATATGGTCGGACGAAAGCATGCCCGACGATTGGAATTTAAGTATGCTCTGCCCAATCCATTTAAAAAGGGACCACACAGTCTGCCCCAATCACCGTGGAATAAGACTCCTTAATATCGTCTATAAGGCCCTGTCGAGCGTATTGTGTGAAAGACTAAGCCCAGTACGTCTTCGTCGATGTTAAAGCCTCCTTCTGCAGTACGAATAGAATCCGCTTTTACGACGCTTTGTCTGAATTCCGTATCCCCGAAAAACTTATACGGCTATGTAAACTAACGTTAAGCAACACATCGCATTCGCGCTTCGGCTCCCAGTCACTGTTGAAAGTCATAACTTTGAAGTCGTAGATAACTTCTTCTAACGAGGGGGCAAGTATTAACACCGATAACAATCTCAGCTTGGAAATTCCATACAGAATCAGTCTTGCCCACAGACGCTACTTTGCACTGAGTAGACAATTGAAAAGTAAAGTTCTCTCCCGACGAACGAAAACCAAACTCAAACAAGTCCCTCATCCTTCCCGTCCCGCTATGTGGTGAGGAAGCATGGACGATGACAACATGTGATGAGTCGACGTTTGGAGTTTACGAGAGAAAAGTTTTGCGTAAGATTTATGGTCCTCTACGAGTCGGTAACGGCGAATATCGCAGCCGATGGAATAATGAGCTGTATGAAATATACGGCGACATTGGCATGGTTGGTCGAATCAGCGGCTTTGCTGGCTGGGTCATGTGGTCCGGATGGATAAGAACATCCCAGCTCTAAAAGTCTTCGATGCAGTATCCGCCGGTGGAAGCAGCGGAAGAGGAAAATTTCCACTCCGTTGGAAAGACCAGTTAGAGTAGGACTTGCCTCTACTTGGTATCTGCAATTGGCGCCAAGCAGCGATAAAAATAAGGAATGGCGCAATGTTATAAATTCACTAAAATCGAGTAAGTGGTGTCTACGCCAGGGAAGTATGTAAGTAAGAAGTTCTCACATCATAGAATATGTTTGCTTGTTCTTCCGCCCTTTTCCCAAAATTACACAAACAAAATACAATACACGAGAAATAGGTTTTGACTTTTCCAACGTTCGATTACACTAACAAAATACATTGAACGATTTTCATCATTGATATTTCGAAACTATAATTACAAAAACAAAATACATAGGCTTTTTGTTTTTGTATTTTTACTACTACCCTCTACCTTCTACTACACAAAGAAAGTACATAGGTTTTTTGTTTTTGTATTCGCTGCTACCGGGTGTAAATTTGCCTTGCGGATTTCAAGAATTTTGAATAAAAAATTTGACTTTTTTCGCCAGAGGAATTTTTACAAACAACATCGAAAATTAAAAAATTTTAAAACGATCAGCAGTTTAGCAACGAAAGAGTATAGGCCGAGTATCGATACTGCTCGATACCCGGATATCTAGAGCTGTAAAATGTACGCATTTGCGAAGCTGGATAAATTACTTTTCGATGATTTTTATTATTATTTTTTATGATTTTATCTTCTTTAAATTAAATGTGTTGATCATGTAAAAAACATGTGTACTGCTTTTGTAGGTGATACACTCTGCACCTCCTCCAAAAATTTCGTTGATTTGGATTATCATAAATCAAATAACTAAGCGGATTGTTTTAAGCTATGGATAAATGAAGGTATTGAACGATCAAATTATTTTTATAAATAATTATTAATCCTTCATTCAGTACCTGAGAATTGTGCAGAAAGGTGAGTGAGATCAGTTGAGCCATTTCCGAAATTTCGAGATCACTGATTTTGAAAATATCGTTCCCAGAAAAACGCTTTTAAATGTTTAAAATTGTAATCAACCTCAGTTTCTGACTCGAGTTCTCTCTGTGCGTATTAATCCGTTGCTTCGAAATGGTAATTTGAGTTTAGGAATGAGAAAAAAATAGGACGGAAATATGTCAGGTGAGTACAGTGGTTCTTTGACGGCCCGATCAATTGGAATGCATTCCGAATGTACAAAACGCAACACACAACGCTGCTATAATCAAAGAAACAAATCTTATCTGCTTGACCCTTGAGCAACACTTAGCCGATACTATGTACTTCCATATACACTAAATATGACCAAGTTACCCTGCTACACTCTTTATTTAGCTTGAAGAGCCTTCCTGTTCTCTTCGCAGCCTTAAATTAAAGGTATGCGACGACAAAAGGCAATTCGCAGTCAAAAGTCCTACTAGCAGCCTTAAGTCCAGCCCTGTTTTCGGTAGTAAAAGTTTGTAAAAATGTTGCTAATATGCAAACATTTTAATATTTGGATTTGCTTTTTTTTTTGCTTCTATCGCATTTATTGGAATGCAGCAAAATTAAACATGACAGCACAAAAGTTTTGCGAAATTTAAAATATCGAAATTATTATTGACGAAGGGTAATTTCAACAGTAATTTAGCAATAGGAGTTTGTATCCAAACGTTTTTCAGGGCAATGTGGAGCTATAAAAAATAATGTTGGTATTGTGTGAACGATCTGTTTGTAACTCAATTACTCAGCGCTAATTCTTAATTTAGCCCGTTGGTGAATCAATTTGTATATCAAAATTTTATATCTTTAAAGTGTTCGAAGTGGAATATATTATTATTATTATTAATTTTATTGTTAATTATAATTAAAATTATAGAACAATTATATTCGCAAAAGCTACCAGGGATAACGGCTTAGTCATATAGTTAAATAAAATTAAGTCAATATATTATATTAACATTTGTTTAGATTAACAGGCCTATTCTCACTGTTCCCGGTAGAGTAAATTTTGTTACTTTTTTTAACGCCCGAAATTGAATTTGGTATTCTGGCAAACTAGTTACAATGCTTGAAAAAAATTTGGCAGCACTGCTCGTTTCGTCCATGTCAAATTACATTTGCCAGTTGATAAAGTAAAAAGAAAAATATCGAAATGGAAGACGGTGCACAAGAAAATTAAAAAGTTTTATTAATTTGTTTATGAAATCATAAATATTTGAACCTAATTTTGGAAAATATGCCTAAACGACAAAAAAAAAAGTTTAATGAAAACGTTATCATCCAAATTAAAAGCGCTATTTTCTGTCTCAAATACTTCTTAAAATACGAATTTTTGCACTTTTTTCTTCATCTTCAATGAATTCCAGGCCTAAAATATTCCTACCCAGATATTTTTGTTATCTCCTTTTTCGCTGGTAACAAAATTTACAGGGTAACAGTGAGCTCAGAATACGAAATGGTAACAAAATTTACTGAATGGTGTATAGTAAGATAGATTGCAGTGGATTACGGTTAGCAAAAATTTGGTTCCTCATATTAGAAAGAGCTGGACAGCTGAGTAATATGTGGTTATATTGAGTTATTGCAAAACTAGCACGTTGGCTGTGGAGTTGATAGCAGGAGATGGGCGTGAGTGAGTTGAGTGTGTCCAAGTCTTAGCCGAATGAAGCATCTATTGGCCCATGTTGATGTACTAATAGGAAGTTTTATAGGGGTGGAAGTGAATTAAACTCCCACTATTCTCTTAGTCCAAGAAATGAATGCTATACAAAAATTTCTCACGAAAGGATAACCACCCCCATTGCATCATTGTTCCAAAATCAATTCAAATAACAACAAAAAGCTGCAAAGCTCTTTCCTCGTAAAAACTGAGGGAAGTAAATTTTTTTTTTGCATGCGCTTGTTGTTGTGAGATGCCCAGAAAACCATGCAATCTGTGCCGAATAACATTCCTAGCCTATGAGATTATCTTTTATGCCTCACAGTTAGTCCTTTTGATGATCTCATACGTGCAACTATTATATATATATGTATACATCCGTAGTAAGTATAATATCTCTTCTGCTATTTATCCACAGTAAAAATAACGTCTCGATTTGTATGCATGTATGTATTGTATGTAAAGCCTGTTCGACTTGTATAAGGTTTTTATAAAAACTATTTTACGTTGAATAGATACAGTTGAGCTTTGGCATTCACTATGCACGTGTAAAAATGTTTGTGTTAATACATTTAAATATACATACGAACACATGCAAATATAAGTAACTGGTAAATATCTACAACTACAATATAACATATAGACTTAAAAGTCCCGGAACTATCACATAGAAGGCACTAGTTTTATTGCATTCGCCTCATTTTCAGACAATACTAGCCTTGGGTGGAAAGATATTAAAACTTAACGACGTTCTACGGACCCCGCTCCAACGGAAACACAATAAAATGTGAATTTGCAAATTTCAAACTTGGTTGCAGAGACACTGATGATGCAAAACGGAGTGGACGTCCAACTGAGACGACAACAACAGAAAATTTCAAAACAAAATCCACAAAATCCTTTGATTGATCGAACAGTGGAGTTGCGTAATTTATCCAAGGGCCACGTTGGGTATGAGCATTTGCAAAAATAGAGCGATGCCAGAATAATGAGATTATGTCGATGAATAAAGCCAATTTCGAATAAAAAATCCGGGTTTTTTTATTTGGCCCGGGACTTTTCATATTGGGATGCTTGTACCTAAACAGCTGAGACGTTATGTTATCTTAACTGATTTTAGACTCATATGCTTATCATACTTAAATTAAAGATTATACAAGTAGTACTCACTTGACTGTTATTATTATTAGAATTGTTTGGAATGTTGTTGCTCTTTCTGCTGTTACTATTGCTAATAATGGTGTTATTGTTGTTGCTGTTGTTGTTGTTGTTGTTAATATTTTCGTTACTATTCGTATTCTGCTGTGTCTGTTGCTGATAATGATTATGATTCTGATGAAGATTGCTGCTTACGTATTCCATTTGATTAGGACAAAAATGTATCGTTTCTGTCGCCGGATTGCTTTTTGGCGTTGTAACGTTGCTGTCTCCGGGACTTTTTGGCGTCGGCAAATGTTGTTGTTGTTGTTGATGGGTATGCAGCTGGTGAAGATACGGCGGCTGCTGCTGAAGTTGCACGTTCTGATGCTGATGATGGCTGTGTGGGTATTGTGAGTGTTGTTGTTGTTGTTGTTGTTGTAATGGATATGGATCAAATAATGTTTGCAAATCGAAATAATTTGGCTGCTGCTGATGTTGCGATAGCAGCGAAAGCGCCATTCGGTAATATAGATATCTCAAGGATATAAATGTACACGCACTCCTTATTATTTGTTGAAAACGATCAGTTCAAAAACAAGTTTCAATTTCGTTTGAAGAATTTTACATACATATGTACATATATGCATATGTGCCCACGAAAATATGTTTCCACTTAGACAAACTGTTGTTATTTCTTTCCGACGCAACAAGAATTGAAATTCAATTAAGAAGAATCCCTTTGAGACCTTCCAACTGTTGACTGACTGACTTGGGATGGTGGCTGTCTTAGTATTCTCATTAACACATTTCACTAATTGTAAACGTTTTTATCTTGGCATTTATATGGCGATTTGAGGTACATTAATTTTGTAAACTTTTATTATTGTTGAATTGTTGAATTGTTGAATTGAATTTCAGAGAAACTACACTTTTATTTTACTAACAACCAAATTATTTTATTCTTATTATTTCTATGATTACGTTTTCCACTCTTTAACTTTCTTATTTATGTTTTTTATTATTATATTATTCATAAAATTTTGTAAAATATACTAGTAACAAGGTTGTTAAGTTGGCTAAATATTTGACTTTAACACTGAATTCTGTTTTACGGAAACAGTTTAAAATTTCTCGCTTTCAATGTTTAAAATAATACGAAAAAAGAATTGTACAGCTCCTTTATTCCAGTTGTCTCACGTTGACGATGGCTTCGAAGAAGAGTATTTTCGATCTTCAGCAGCATTTTGTTTATTAGATACATGCAACTCACTTGGTGCTCATTGGAATGGAATCGGAGTTCTTTGTGATTAGACTGCTCCATTTATTGAAACGCAGTATTGATTTTCACGATTAAAAACTGTGATTCAAAAACAGTTTATATTAATGGAAATTATTCCTAATGTTTTTGCAGTTACTCGCTGTAGGCATTCACAGTAAAATATCACTTTAATCAGACGGTACTCCAGCTTTTTATGGGCTTTGTTGTTGTGCTTATCGCAGCTAGTCAAATGCTTGAATTCATCATGGTGCTTTGACTGATTTCGCTCGTTTCGCGACGAAATTATGTTGAATATTCACAATATTTTTAATGCTGCACGTATATTAATTTTATTTTTTATTTTTTGTGCGTTTGTTTGCGGTCGCCGCCTATTTTTTAAGCAGAATCGTGTGTATCTCTATCTGTAGCGATATTTGTAAAGATAGTCAATGTTATTTATTAGTTGTTATTACTTATACGATCACTTCAGGAAAAATATCAGCAGAACGTATGGAAAATATTTCTGACTCGCGCGACACTCGTTTACTTTCTGACTTGAGAGTTTTTGGCTTTGTTAATAATTCGACACACTGCGCAGAGTTGCTAGGTGCATTGGTGTTTGGGTAATGGTGTATTTCCATGTACAGCGTAATCTTTTCCACTGCTCGTGTGTGTTTAGCTTTGTATTTGTTAATTTGATAATGTTCACTTTGTACACGTTGTTATTGTTGGCGTTGATTTGTTGACGTTGTCGTTGTGAGTTTGGACAGTTAATAAGAGCGTGATTTTACTGGCGTTTTAGTTTGTTTCTCAAGCTATTGTATTGAATTAATATTCACAGACTGTAAATAATATTTTATCTTTAATTATTTATTAAGTTTTTTATAATAAATACTGAAGAACAAACCCACAATTATTTGAAATATTCATGTACATTAACTTTAATATCCTGATATTAACTCCTGAAACGAGAAAGTGGCAATACAAGAATTTCGATAGAGTTTGTGCTTTTATTATAAGAAAATTATAAGCGTTAAATTGTATACACGAAACTGACACTTTTACGAACTTTACTAATAACCATTCATCCAATGGAGTCTATAATTATTACTGCTTAAGCAAGGCACGTTTTTGCTAGAACACGTTAAAGGAGCAATTTTAAAACAACGAAGCAATGCTTCGCAGATCGAAATGAGACCAGCATTTTAGTAGAACCTTTGGCTGAATCCAACCACCACCGCCACCGCGCGTCGTTCGTACACGAGGTCAAAACAAAAATGACCGGGGAAAATATGTGTCGCTTGCTGGAAACTGTAGAATCCGTATCCGATCAATCGATTCAGCAATAGTAATGACTGTGGCCTTGCCTTTGTCTCCGTTAACGGTTCCAGCTTCAGCTGCGATTCAAACACGGACTCCGATAGATCTACTGGTGGCGCTCGCTCGATACTCACTACAAGTACAAAATTAATGAAAACGAGAACGAAAACGAAAACTACTGCTGACTGCGACCTAAAGAGCTTATTTTATTGTTACACATGCATATGAACAAGCGGACATATTTTCATACGTACATATAATACAATATATACGCGCGTGTGTGAATATGTATCTATGCATAGGTATGTAAAAGTATCTTCATCCATTTGCCGTAGAAATGTGTGTATTTACATATTTTGTTGTCAATATTGCTTAGTCGACTTTATATCTATAGACACAAATACATGTACCTTTACGCATACACACATACTTAATTATATACTTATGCATTTACATATGTAGATATGTACATTGCTACATATCTACTGGGCTGACAACGGTTACTGATTTTCTTTTATATTTACATAACATATACATACTTATGTATATGAAAATAAGTAGCAAGCTCGACATAACAAATGGATGGGAAATGATTGAGGAAACAGCGGTTGTACACTAACAGCGTGTAGAAGAATGAAGCAATACTGAAGCAAATACATACATTTACATATTGCCTAGGAGGGAGCAAGGGAGATCTCAACAAAATAACAACAGTGATCGGGAGTATACATATGTATTTATGTATGTACGAGCATATTAATGCTTTGTGGATCCCTATTATGCCCATACATACATAAGTAACTTTTATTGGCAGGTTGTTGAAAGCTTTGTACATACAAACATATGTACGAGTAGGTGTTTATTCGAACTTAACTTTGTGTAATCTTAACGAATATATAATATGTAGGCGCGCATTCTCATTTGAATTCGTATACAGAGAGAGAGAGAGAGAGAGCGTGAGAGAGAGAGAGGTGTGCACATCATACATATTTATTTTCTTATTAATGAAATGTTTTACAAACGTCAGTTGGTCGGTCTTCGCTTCAAAATCCGTCAACTTTTTATCAATATACATATGTACATACAAACATATATATGTACATATGTATGCACATGTATTTGTAAATATTCGCAACGGAACCTATCATCTTCGAACAAATTTATATGTGAGTATTTCCTGGCATATGGGCATTTATTAGTACACATGTATGTGTGTATTTATTAAATATCACAAATTTTCAAAATTCAGCTACATCCACGACGACCATTTACTAAACATCACTTGTGCATATGTATATGTATGCATACATATTGTATTGTACATACATACAAACTAGATGCATATGCGCAAAAGTAGATATGTATGTATCTACTATATATTTATATACATATGTATGTGTGGTTAGTGTACATACTAACATATTATATGTATATACTTTAATAAAGTTTAACTGATCTTTCCTTGTGAGTGGGATGACAATTATTCCACGCCTTTAATCATCCGTCAGATGAGCAATGCACTTGAACACATGTACGTATGTGTGTATGTAAATATGGCAAATGCAAGCTAAATTGATTTTTATACAATGAATAGTCAATGATATTGTAATATAAAAACTGACACTGTTTATTCAGCAGGTATTGCTTTCGTTGGATCTTCATTGTCCCAATCTTACTCGTATTGTAGTGAATATGTAAATAAATTGAAATTAATTATTATTTTTGATATTGCTCACAAATAAGCACTCGAACATGATCGAGATGCTCTTTTTTACAAACAACGTATGTATGTACGTTCACGAATACATTGTTAAATAAGCACCTACGAGTGAGCGCCATTATTGATTCTTCGCAAAGTTAACTCACTAACACAGTTAACCCGCACAGTTTGATGTATGTATGTAGTATGAGCTGAAGAGTTTGAGAAAAACTTAAATTAACCCGTGGACATATAAACAGTGCACACTACTATATACTCTTACTCATTTGCAGACACTCTTTCTATTAACTTAACACAATGCTAACAAAAATGTAAAGAATACAATCAACGAATGATCAAAATAGCAAATATCAGAGTTTAAAACACAGTCGGTATTATTGATTAATATTTATTCCTTGAAAACTATTGTGGAAACCAGAGTCGCAGGAAACCAAGTGGCAGCAAAAATTTAACACTTGCATTAATAACAATCGTAACAATCATACTAACTTTGCTGTATTCTATATATACGTATATTAGCTTGTATCTCTGAAAGCTCACTATTCAGAGAAGCCTGGAGACACGAAACACAAGTTTAGGTTCGGCGAGTGAAATCTCTCATTTCATCCAGCGTTCGTGTTTAAATGCAATTGCAGTAGATCTACTGAAATTTATATATATATAATTGGCGCTTTGTAACCGTTTAAGCGATTTTCGGCCGAGCTCCTTCTCCAATTTGTGGTTTTGCGTCTTGATGTTTTTCCCACAAAGAGGGGGACCAACAGTTTATATCAAGCCGCCCCCGAACGGCTGATGGTTTTTTTATGAGGAGCCTTTGTTTCACGCCAGAAATACACTCGGAGGGGTTGACATTCCCTGCTGAGGGGGACCGCAATTAGAACTTAACTTAACTTTTTATTTAAATTAATTTTTTATAACTTTTGAATGTTGGTCGCACGGGGATTTGGACCCGAGCATCCCGAATGGCAGTACGCAGTGCTAACTCTATTGACCGCACCAACTACTGCTGCTCTGCTGAAATTATTTTTTATAAATATAATCAAGTCTTACAATTGTCGCACTGGATTGTGGTCATGTAGTTTCTGTACGTTGCATTTTTTTGCGTTTTATTCAAATTAACAAAAATAAGAAAAATTTAATTGTTCAGAAGAGATTTTCTATGCCACAATGCCAACGCTCGCCATGTTTTTAATATGTATGTATGTACAGTAAGTCAATTAGTTCTTTGCAAAATGAAACGTGGATAACTTAACGGTACCATAAATCTAAAAACGAATGAACGAGTCATAGCCATGCATTGGTCTATTACATTCAATTCGATCAATGTTTTGGACAGTTCAGATCGTGTTGATTTAGCGTTTCTAACAATGCCTGGCATGCGAACTAATGAAAATCTTAAAATCGAAATAAACCATAGAAGCACAGAAAAAGAGAAACAGGTTGGATTTAAAGCACTCTGGAGGTAGACCACCGAAACTTTCTAGGCGCGATCATTCAAAAATTTTAAAGCAGATCAGTGATATTCCTCAAGCCACCCTAAGAAATTGGCGTTAGATATTAAAAAAGATTGCCATAAAACAGTAAGTCACGAGGCAATCCGAAAAGTCTTAAAAATACACAAGAACCCCTCGCTAATAGCCAGGAAGAAACCTTTGTTGTCGGTAATTAATATTGAGTAGCGACTCAACTTTTCAATTTCCAATGTTTACAGGACTGCGGAATACTGGGATGACGTTATTTTTTTGCGACGAGACAAAAAGAATGTTATATCATAATGACGGACCCAGTAAAGTTTGGAGAAACCTTAACACAGCTTTGCTACAGAAAAATATAATTTCAACAGTAAAATTTGGTAATTTTTCTGTAATGGTTTGGGGTTGCATTTCGTCGACGGGATGACGAAGGAGTTTTACTTGGACATTCTAAAGAACGAATTGTCAAGGGGTGCGATAAGATTTGGATTAGCTGACCATGAAAACCCTAATAAATTATGGAACAAACTGTACATAAATCATTGCTGTGCAATGCAGTAAAGTGATTGACACTC